GGAAAGTTGGCTGAAGAGGTTTTGATTTCAAGATTTCAATATAATCTTGTTATTTACAAGCTGCCTGGCTGGTAAACTCCAGGAAGTACACAAAGTGCGAGCAGTCTATCAAGTCTGTAGAATGTAAGTTTCAAGAGAGATATAGCAAGAGTTTGTAGTTAATCCAATCTTCCATAATAATCAAGAGAGGTGGAGGTGTAGAATATGCTCTGGAAAGGGAGCAAATCTGAAAGAATGAGAAGTTTTCCTTCAGCCCCCATCTTCTTTCACAACATTCAGTTTTTCTGCTCTCTTTCTGCAAATTCTCTCCTCTAAGCAGCTATATGAGAAGGATCACATACATTTCTGTCTATCTGTGCAAATGGAGTTTGATGTCTGAAATCTGGGAGAAGAGACGAGTCAAAGAATTTGTGTACAAAACTGGGTGCTTAGATAGGAATGCTTCCCCCGTCCCATTGCCTGCCTTCCTGTCTACAGTGGCAGACTAATTTGGGCTGAGTAACAGCTGTACCTCGAATAAAGCTGCAATTTATTTCCCAGGAGAGTTTGCTGATTAGGGCAGGACAGTCAGAAAACAAGTGAAGGTACAGGACAGGAAGGGTATAATTTGATATATGTCTCTTGGAAACAATGTTTGAGAGGAAGGTTAGTAGCATCTGAAGTGCGGAGTCTTTATAGGGAGTCTGGCTAAGTGTACAATGATCAATGAAAAGCGTGAAGGGAGCCCTTGCTAGCTGGTGGTTAAATTGAAGAAGATTAAGGCTGACTTTACCCAGAGGAGATTTGGGGAAAGCAAAAATTTGAGAAACCAAAGGAACTCAGTAAAATATGATAGACTTGGACTTGGGGCTTCTTTGAGAAGACCAGAACGGTTTTTGTATGTCCGTGAGCCTAGATGCACATAGATAGCTATGTATGAATATAAAGCAGGAGTGCCCAAGCTGTTAGTTAAAAAAGGAGGTAGGACAATCTAATAGAACATGGTATTTCAATAATGAAGGAGCCTTTTAAATGACCAGTGCCGATAGAAGCATCATTTGGCTCTTTGACTCTGATCCTGCAGTTACAAATCTACCATCAGCTAGATACTTATTTTTCTCAGCTATGACTTCTTATCAAGTAAGGCAGCAGTGTCATGAATACGCAAGGACTTTAGGTTAAATGTTAAAGGTTTTCTTTAAATTCTTTATATAAAAAGTTATGAATAGTTGTTCTAAGTAGCGACAATAATAGTGGAATGTGAATATATAGATATTTACTTGTACTTATAGTTGGAATCTGATGATGTGTGTATATGTATATGTATATATAAAGGGGAATTGCAATGGGAAAAGAAAGGCAAATATAAGATGGAAAGCACAGAACAGAAAAGATGGAAAATGTCCAGTCACTTAGGTTTTTTTAATTCTAGAGTAATCCTATGTATGTACAAATACTGGAAATTTTATAGAAAATCTCCTTAAAATTTGGCCATGTACTATCAGTAGCTTCAGATCACTGAAGATCTATAAATTTATGCTTAGAACATAATGTTTAACAATGCTTTGGCAGCTCCTGGTTATTTAAAACCTCTTGGTTTTAATTTCACATGAAGTACATTACATTAGAAATATCTGGACCACTGTTGTTTACCAGCTCTATGCTACAAGACAGATTTTAAAAATACCATATAGTTTGCTTGTATTCTTATATTTCTTTTGAAATACCGACTCAAAGAATTGCAAAATAATTGAGGTTGTAAGGGACATATGGAGATCCAAACAACTCCTGTTCAAGCAGGACCCTTACAGCCAGTTGCTCACCATCATGTCCAGACAGCTTTTGAGTATCTCAAAGGATGGAGATTCCATAGTCTCTCAGGACAACCTCTTACAATGCTTGGTCACCCTCACAGTAAAAAAACTGTTTCCTGATGTTCAGAGGCAATCTCCTGTGTTTGTTTCTGTGCCTGTGGTCACTGGCGCTGTCACTGGGCACCACTGAGAACACTCTGGTTCTGTCTTCTTTGCACTCTCCTTTCAGATATTTATATACATTAATGATATGCCACCCTGAGCCTTATCTTGTCTTGAATAATAGTCCCAGTACTCTCAGCCTGTCCTCATGGGAGAGATGCTTCATTGCCTTTTGTCGTCTTCATGGCCCTTTGTTAGACACCCTCCAGTATGTTCATGTCTGTCTTGTACTGAGTAGCCCAGAACTTTACACACCACTCCAGGTGTGGCCTCACCAGCATTGAGCAGACAGGAAGAATCATTTCCCTTGACCTGCTGGCAATGTTTTGCCTGATGCAGCCCAGATACCATGAGCCTTCTTTGCAGCAAGGGCACATTACTGGCTCACGTTCAACATTGTGTCCTCCTGGACCCTCAGGTCCTTTTATGCAAAGCTTTTGAATTTCAGTAAAGCTTCTTCAGTAAAGATCTCTCACAGGATCCTTCTGGACAAACTGTCCAGCACACAGCTGGATAAACACATCATGTAGTAGGTGAGCAATTGGCTCATGAGTCAAGCACAGAGGGTTATAGTGAATGGGGTAACATCAGACTGGTGAGCTGTCACTAGTGGCGTTCCACAGGACTCCATCTTAGGCCCTGTGCTCTTCAACATCTCTATAAATGACTTGGATGCAGGACTGGAGGGGATACCAAGCAAGTTTGCAGATGACACAAAACTCGGTGGAGCTGTTCACTCCCTCAAAGGCGCAGAGGCCCTGCAGAGAGACCTCAATAAATGAGAGGACTGGACAATCACCAACCATATGAAGTTCAGCAAGGGAAAGTGGCTGATTCTGTGCCTGGGATGGGGCAACTCTGGATGTACAGACAGACTGGGGAATGAGATACGGAAAAGCAGTTCCAAGGAAAGTGACCGGGGAGTTCCTGGTCAGTGGCCAGTTGAATATGAGTCAGCAGTGCCCTGGCAGCAGGAAGGCCAACTGTGTCCTGGGGGGCATCAGGGAAAGCATCACCAGCGGGGCGAGGGAGGGGATTGTCCCGCTCTGCTCTGCACTGGTGAGGCCTCACCTTGAATATTATGGCAGGTTTGGGCACCAAAATATAAGAAAGATATTAAGCTGTTAGAGAGTGTCTAATGAAGAGTGACGAAGATGGTGAAGAGCCTTGAAGGGAAGCCATCTGAGGAGCGGCTGAAGTCATTTGGTGTGTTCACCTGGAGAAGAGGAGACTGAGGGGAGACCTCAATTGCAGTCTACAACTTCCTCGTGAGGTGAAAAAGAGGAGAGATCTCTTCTCTGTGGTGACCAGTGACAGGACCTGAGGGAATGGCCTGAAGTTGTGTCAGGGGAGGTGTAGGTTAGATCTTAGGAAGAGGTTCTTCATCCAGAGGGTGAGTACTGAGTACTCCTGATGATTTTTTTTGTCCATAATGTTCCTGGAAATTCCTCCATCACCTTCTCAGGGATTGAGGTGAGGTTGACAAGACTCTGATTCTCTGAGTCCTCCTCCTTCCACTTCTTGAAGATAGGAGTGATATTTGCTTTTTCCAGCCTTTGGGATATTATCCCAGTTGCCATGATTGATCAAAAATAATTAAGAATGGCCTTGCAATGACATCTGCCAGCTCCCTTGGCACTTGTGGGCATCCTGTAAGGGCCCAAGACATCCATATATCTTGTTTGCTTAACTTATCAGGTTTCCTCAGACCTGATCCTCTTTCGCCAAGGGTACATCTTCCTTTCTCCAACCTTGTCTCCTGGTCTCTGGGGCCTAGGATTCCTGAAGGCTGCTCTTACTAGTAAATACTGAGTCAAAGAAGACATTCAGTACCTCAGCCTTTTCCATGTCTGTGTAACCAGGTCCCCCATCTCATTGAGCAATGGGCTCACATTTTCCCTAGTCTTCTGTTTGTCACCTGTGTACTTATAGAAGCCCTTCTCGTCTTTGACATCCTTGGCCAAATTTAGTTCCATTTGAGCTTTAGCTTCCCTGACTTTGTCCATGCTCAGATACTATTTGTGTGTCCCTCCCAGCTTACCCGTCCTTACTTCCAGCCTCTGTATGCTTCATTTGAGTTTGGCTAGGATCGTTATGTTCATCCATGCAGGCCTCCTGGCATTTTTTTTTTAACTCTTTTGAGCTTGGCAGAGCTCCTTAAATATTAACCAGCTTTATTTTGTCCCATTACCTAGGGCCTCATCCCACGGGACTCTTCCAAGCAGAGGCCAGAGTCTGCACTTCTGAAGGCCAGGGTTGTGAGCTTGCTTTTTACTCTCCTTCTTGCCCTCAGGATCTGGAACTCCACTACCTCATGGTCACTGCAGCAGAGGCTGCCTTTGCCTTTCACCTCCCCAACAAGCCCCTCTCCATTTGTGCCTGTATCACTTGGAAGAAGAAGTTATCATCAATGCACTTCAGGAACCTGGATTGCTTGCAAAAACGGGTGAAAGTGATACCTACCCCAGATTCTGGTTTGTCCTTGTCAAAACTGGGGCAATATTTCCATTACTCCAAGGTTTATGAGCAAGCTTTGTACCAGCCCTTCTTAAGCAGCTTCATTGGTTCCTGTTGCCATTATTTTGCTTATAATAACTATACTGATTAAGTATCTTTTTATTCTTATGATATTGGCATTTCCAAATAGTAAAAACTGTAGAAATACATTAGTGTTCAATTCATATAATTTATTGAACAAAGAATAGAAATAAATTTCTGTACAGCTGATCTAATGTTATCTGTTCTCCCTAAGAATAGGTGACTGCACAATCAGTATAAAAATGAATTAATGACAAAAGAAACCATATTTTACACATTATGTGTGTGTTTGTATAAAATATGATTACAATGGGATGTAGATTTCATCATGTTATACAAAAGGAACTATGTATTACTTGAATTTGACTTTATCATATCATTAGTGTTGCCCTACATCTTGTTGAGGGTTTTTTTATGCTTCATATTGATATACCAGAAGGTGTTGTAGGCTGCTGACTTTTCTACAGAATTAATCCTAACTTTGATCTCTTTTACCATACTGTGCAGGAGTTCTGAAGAGAGCTAGTGGGGAGCTTTTAATAGGAGAAACTAGAGCAAATGAAACCAGCGTGCTTCCTGAACAGTTACTTCAGGTAGAAGAGGTGAGTATGAAAAGAGTCTTACACTTTTTATGGGATTTTCTTTTGTGTGTGTCTCCAGTGTAGTCTGTCATCGTGTTCATTATAAACACATATTGCCATAGTTTCATTACTTTAGCTACTTTGATTTATTTTAGGTGCAAAGTCTCAGTTAAGATGGAATAAAATCTTCTGGCATTCATGAAGAAGTGGTTGGTATTTAAGAACAGAATTTAACATAAGATACCTCAAAACAAAAAATTGCTAAAATATCATAACTTTCTTAGTATTATATATATTATCAAATACATCAGAATCTTAAAAAAATCTTTGAAATTCTTAGAATTTGATAATAATGATTCTTCCTATAGGGATAGGTACTCACACAATGTGTAGTTTCTTTGATGCCAACAAACTATTGTGTAGTATGTTTTGTAGAATGTATGTACAAGACTAAGTTTTTGTCTGGCTCCAATTTACTACTAAACACATTTATGTTGTTGATTTTATGGGACCTAAATGCTCTAACAAGTCTGATACTTTGTGATAGTGGAATTTAATTTTTTAATGGTTCAATTTTAATGATGGAAAACTTTTTAAATGTGCTTTGAATCAGTTTGTGAGACTAATGTTCTTACAGATTACAAAGAAGAATATCTTGAGTAGATTGATCCCTGTCAGAGGCCGGATTCATATCTCACTGGATTGTTTGATTGATGGGTCAAATAAACCATGTTGTCTGTTGTGGAGGTGGAGGAAGGGCTAAGCCTAGGCCTGCAGCCAACACGGCTGTGCCCATGCAGAGCACAGGGCAGGGAAGGCCATGTGGCTGAGCTGTCAATCACACCACACCCCCTGGAGCGGTGTGGCACCCCTCACTTTGGTTAGGGGGACAGGGAGTGGCAGCGAGCCAAAGGTCCTGCCTAGAGGGGGTAGCCACAATAGCCAGAGTCTATAAACAGACACACATGTGGTCTCCATCTTGCCTTGGCCTCTGCCCTGCTGACCTGTCCACATGTGACCTCCAGAGTGGTAAATATGTCCCTCTCTTCTCTTATTCTTTCTTCTCTTAATATCTCTTCATTTCCTCTTGTGGGCAACTTAAACACCTTTTTTCTGTGTTTCACTTAATTTGTGGGTATTTCATTTAAGTTGTACGGACCTTGTGTTTGCTGAGTGTAACACAAGTTCCCTTACTACAGCAATGCTTGCTAGTCTCAGTAATCTGTTGTAATGCTTTTGGGAAGTTGCATGTTATTTCTGTAAAACCCTTTTTACCAAAACACCTATTTTCTCACCAAATTAAAAAAATCTCTTAGACAAAAATGTGTAGTTTTTCTCTGGACATGAACTCAAGGTATCAAAGAATAAAAGACTTTGCAAGGGTTTGTGGGCGAAATCTCTTTAAGTCTAAAATTGAAGTGTACAGCCTGTAAAAGCATGGAGCTTCTGCACCAGCGTGCAACAATTTCAGCCTCCCCCCGCCCTTCCCCACCCAAAAAGGGGGAGTTCAAAACTGTGTGTCCATGGGGGCTGTCTCTGTGCTCACTGGAGTTGAATGCTTGGAGTGGAGAAAGGGAAAGGAAGGAGGATACAACTTTTCAATTGAAGTAAGGTGGAAGGCTTTCACTTTGTAGCCCTTCATTTTCTTTCGATTTAGTATTATAGCTGCAGCTTACTGGGAATCCTTCTTTTCTCTTCTCCCATTATGCCCTCATGGTGGAGATTCAGTATTTTCTGTGTAATTAAAATATGTCTCTTACAGTGGTGCAATTCCCAATTGGCCACTTCTGGTAAGGTTTAAGTCTGATGTATGTCATAAGAGCAATGCAAAGTCAGATAAGTTGAAAAGTGATGATGTCTTTCTATATCTACTTCTGTTAACTGTTACACTTCAGATGACTTCAGAAGTCTGTTTAAAGAAGGTGGGGAACTGATGTAAACCGTAGTAAAAGTCAGCATTGGCTAAAAACTACAAATCTCAATTTAATAATTTTGCTCTTTGCTAAATCCAGCTCTAGAGAAGAGAAATACAGTGTGGATGTGTTAAAACCAGCTTCTCCGAAGAGGTTTCCATTAAGATTCATAGTTAGTAACTTGCATTTGCTATCTTGTGGTGAAAATTGTTACAAGGTATATACTGCTAGATTACTTTTTATACTATTGAAAATGGTTGTAAATTCTTTTGACTTTGTTAAATAGATTCTGTTAAAGGTTATAAATCAAGTAAAGATGAAGCATATATTTTAAAAGCTGTCTTGTTTAAACAGGATTATTTTTTCTTTAAAATTTAATGACAAATCTAATATTGTTATGCATGTTCATTTTTCTTGAGTGTAAATACTGCTTTTAATACAATTTCAGGGCCAGCAGACTATATTTTAAGTTCTTGGTGTCCTCTGATTTAATTATGGATATGCATTTAATTTTCAGACAATAACACTCAATAATGACTTTGGATTGATTTAGTATTAATATGTATTTCAGCCTATTTTACTGAATTTTGGCTGGAGAAATGCATTTAAAGACCTGTCTTCTTCTGTGGCTCACTGTATAACAATAGCAATCGAGGATTTTTCATCTAAAATTCTTCAACATGAGCAGAAAGAAGAGTTTTCAGCTGCAGGCTGTACAATGAGTCTTGTAAACAACCAGCAAATGAGGGAGTCCTGCAGAGCAGTCCAAGAGGAGGAGCAACCAAAACGAATTGCTAAGGCAGGTATCAAAAGATCTGAAGTTTGAGGGGAGACAGAATGCCAAGGCTGTTTGCCATCTACACTTTGAAGTACTTACAGTAGTATTAATATTCTATATCTGATATAAATGGAATTAAAAAGAAATGAGAGGCATTACAATGTGAAGCTGAACAGAGCTTTATACAACAGCCCGTAGTGTTTACTTGAAAGAATTGACTTTTAAACTTCACTGGCATTATTTCTTTCAGCCAAAAAGTTCTAAAACTTTCTGATTTATTCTAACATTCATTCTAACATTCTGCTCTGTTACCAAATGTTTCAATGGGAAAATGCTGAAAGCTTTGAAATGTGGCTATAAAGGGATTTCTTGTATTCATATCATTAGACATGCCATTCAATTAATCATAACCTGTAATATGGCCAATTTAGAGTTCTTTGATTTGGCTGAAAGGTCACTTATTAATTAAATTGTTTTCTGAGGGAATATGTGTTTGAAAGTTTTTTTTAAGTAAGCTTTACAACTATTCTAGCAGATTCGGAATGCTGTTAATAAATGTTTGCTTAAAATAAGACAAAAGCTTTTGGGAGATAATTTTAGGGAGTCCAATATATGAATTTATTAAGAGATTACAAGTTTGTATCCAAATTCAGTGTTAAGAAATTTGTTTGTATATTTTTCAAAATAAATTAGTTTAGAAAATTATCTTTGTTTACAAGAAATTAATTTTGCTATGAATGTACATTTAGTGAAATTAAAACCAAAATCAGGCATTACTAGCACAAGATGGTTTTAATTCTTTCCCCCAATATACACTGTGCAGCTTTAAAACAAGAAGGAATAAAAGAATAATTCATTTACTGTAGATAAATGTTTCTCTCCTGTTTAATATGATGCCTTAAGACTCTTTTAGTTTCTTATTTTTCTAATCTTGTAAGCTTTATAAGTTTTATAAGAAGTAGTAGATTTTAGAAACAGCAACCCTTACTCCTCACCCTTTAGCACCCTTTAGTTTACACATTCCTCAGCCCTCTTACCCTATTCCATGCTCCCCATATCAATTCTACCCCCGAATTCAGTAGAAATGTTTAGTCTTTTGTCAAGGCAAGGCCTCTGCTGTTTAGAGAACACTCATATCTTGGCCTGAACAACAGAACACAGTCAAGAACTAGGTGACCGTGTACCCTTTGTGCTCTGAAGATGGTGAAGATGATGAAGAAGTGGTCCCAAAAGCCCCAGACCCAATTCCCAAGGGGTGGGCCAGGGGGTGGACCAGGGCAAAAGCAATGGGATGGACAAAACTTGGATTGGTTGGGCAGTATTATAAAATGTAACATCTCAGGCATGGCCTGCGCGCGCGTCTTGTAACATCTATGCCTAGGCATAAATTAAACCCTTTCCTTATCTCACCCTCAATTAACTGCTTCAGAGGTTTTTTTCTTTAGCAGCATTTTAGGCATCAAATAGATTGAAATATTTGTAAAGCTCATTCAATATATTTATGTTTTGTGCCAATTTTATTCTTCAAGAATCTGACCCTAATGTATATAAATTAAACAGTGCTGTCAGAATACAAATAATTTGATGCCCTGTTTATTTTCTCAGTTTTGTTCTGACATCATGGAAGAACTGGACACATTGCTTCCATTGGCTCTGGCATGCAGAGATGATTCTCTTCAGGAAATTAGAGCAAACTTTGTAGAGGCCTGCAGCAAAGTGGCAACAGCTGTGCTGGCAAGACTCGAGGAGAAGAGCAAAGACATTCCCTCCAAGGCTCCCCTGCAAGACTTATGTGCTGCCCTTTCCACAGCGATATATGTCTTTCAGCATTTTACAATGTATAGCAATTTAATGAGAGAAACAAGCAAAAAGTAGGTCCTTTTTATTTATAATGCTTAATTCAAACACATGTGACTTCATTCCATTTTGGTGATACAGTATGGTGGTAGTTTTCCAAATTGCATTATAGTTTTAGCACGCTCAGTGTGTGTACTGTTTATGTAAAGACCTGAATCAAAATTATTGATAGTCTAAAGCTGCCTTTACAAAACAAATTAATTATATTCAAGATCTACATTCTATTTGCAGATCAATATTTTTTATTTATTAAGCTTGAGAAAACAGAATTGTCCAGTGAACTGAATGTACTCCGCTCTCATATAAATAAAGGGCTAAGGCCTTTTCTCACCTCTGTAAGAGCTGAATTTTCATAAAATCTAATTTAGCCCATAGCAAATCTTAGAGGACAACATACAAATACATTTCTGTGCTTTTTCCTTACACCACCTGTATTCAGGCATGTAAAGAAATACATCCAGTGTAGTTTTAGAATTTTTTTTTTCTTGCATGCAGAATAAAAATTAGGGGAGATATGAAGTAGGAGTGTAAAGTCAAAGACAGTGTTTGACCTGGGGGGCAGTATAATTTCATTTGCTGTGCTTTTAGAGATTTTGACTTAAGATATTAGGAATTTCTTTATTGGTCCATATGTTTCCGGCCATATGTACTTGAAAAGTAGAAGCTGTACCTTTTGGGAGGGATGCTGAATTAGCACGATTTTCAAGGAATGTATGATTTCTGAGTGGTTTTATGCACTGTTGAGCTACTTTCCGTCTGATGTTTTACTCTCTTCTGCATGAAGTATATCTTTGTGAATGGGAAGTCTGAGCCAAAATACTGCTCAGTAATTCTATTTAGGTGTATTATCAAAGAGTTTTAGTACATACCTATCAAAAGCAATCTCTGTACTCTGTGCTTATGTTTTCTTTATCACACTCAGTGCTGATGTAATAATTGCTGATGCAAGTATGCTGCAACACATAATCTTCAAATATGGGAATGACAAATATACTTTTGTCTCAGCAAATAGGATGAAGTAATTTATTTCTCAGTGACTTAGGTAAACGCGAATTTATAGACAAGGAGACATATTTAAAGAATTTTTGAAACAAAGAATTTCAAAAGTGAGTGCTAGGTTCAGACTTCAGAATCAAGAAGAAATGAATGATTAATATCTACTAATCAAGACTATTTGCAGTACTGGGGATTGTTTACCTCCTACTGCACAGCCTTTCAATCACTGTCTCTTTCATCATTCTCTCTGAACAGCCCCCTGTTCCTAGTGCTTGTCCAACAATACCAGGAATTCATCAGTGTTCTCCAGTTTCAAGTAACGAACTACTGCATCAGAGTTTGTGCTACAAGCATATTACAGGATGCTGAGAGCCACCACTGGGATGACTACAAAGCTTTTTATGAGGTGTGAGGTTAAGTTTACTGTGCCTCCCTTTTACAAAATGTGTTTACTGGTTGCCAACTCTCTGACTAATTAGAAGCATAAGATCAGCATTCTTTTTACATAACAGTTGTTGGGATTTACTCTTTTGAAATATCTATCATTGCAGGCAAATGTCTCTCTAGAAATGACATAGAAAAACATAATCATTTAAAAATGAGATAGATGGTTACCATGAAGTGTTTGTGTCATTTGCTTTGTAAAATATTGTGTGTTAAGACATTTATATAGAACTCAGTAAAGAAGATGTCATCATCTTAATATCTAAGAACTTTACAGTTGTAAAGTTGTAAGAAAATGTAACATTGAAAATCTTCTTCTGGGAAATTTTTCATCTCATTATTTAGTTTTTATTTTCAAGTGGTTCCTCTTTTATTTTTTGGGAGTGAAAGATGTAACAAAGAAAGATGGTCAAAATAGTTACCTTAAGCATTCAGCAGTAGATTTCTGAAGTAAACAGTGCCATTTCACCTGCATTTTGAAGTCACAGGTCTGATGTATAGCTGTAATCCTAATGATTCTATGAAAAAAAAAAGATAATTACTTTTGTTTATTGGGTTTTTTCCTTCATTGCTGTTAAATGCAAACACAGATTGACACTGTTTGAAATTATTTTCACTTGATTGCAGGATGAAGTATTATATGTTTTTTATCAGTAATATCTGAGGTCTCCTAGAGACAAAGTCCTGTCCTTCCTTTTATCACTTTTTGTGTAAGACAATTAGTGTGGGTTTTTTACACATTTTCTAGAATTCTTACATGAGAGAAAATTCTCTGTGATACATGTATTCTACAGATGTAGTATAAAAAACAGCTAAGCAGTGACAAAAATGTGTACTGGACAGGGCATGCAGACCTTAATACAAGTAATCTATCAAAATGTCCATCCCTCAAAGTAAAGTAAATAAACATTTTACTTTTGTTTGAATATTGGCCCAGATGATGAAGTAAGAAATGTTGTGGCTTTTGGCAACTGATAAATCATGATACAGTCTTGATTGTCCATAGTCCATATGGTGCTGTGTGCTGTTTGTTAGTGACCCAGTAGCTTCACCATGGAGGAAACCTAATTGTGAGAAATAGTTGTCCAAAGACAAAAGAATATGGAGTAGCTGAACAGTTTTATCACTGCTGAGCAGAACTGATGTGTGTAGGAAGGGATGAGGAAAGCCAATGTCTCAGCTCTTTAAGGTTTGCAGGACTTGAGGTGGGAAGTAATTTTACATCATCACTCTGCTCTTTTTACTGGGTCATGGGAGATGGCCCAAAGGTGGACCATGATCTGCATCGAATGCCTTCATGAGGCACAATGCTTAGCAGTTGTTACTTCCATTGGCCTCTTGTAGGCATCCCAAATGAAAGAGATTGGATTAAGAACTATTGCTTGTTACAGAGGCAACATCCTACTGAACCTCTAGCAGTTAGTGTAGCAGACATCTGCTGTAGCCGTGGAAACTTCTGTTTTCTAATAGTCAAAAAATAAAGAATTGTCTGTTCAGAGATAATATTGAGTGGCTTATACAATAAAGCACACCTGGTTGTTGCCTGATATATAAGCTAAATAAAAGCTCACATCTGTTTGTATTATATGGAGCCTGCAAAAATAGCAGATATTTATCAGTTGAATTGTCTAGAAATGGCAGCAAGTAGAAAAATAGGTCAGAAAAGGGGAATGAATCTCATTTAAATCTTTAGTGACACTGTTGCTTCTGCAATGGAGGTACAATGCTAAGAAAGGGGGGAAAGGGTATTACTTAAATTAGCGCAGAGAAAGTGAAAACAATTTGTGTTTATTGTTACAGTTAAAAAGTAAAACTCACCAACATTCAGTTACTTAAAAAAGTAAATGTCCTGTTTCAAAAAGTCAATTTAGAATTATATATTTAGTTTTCAAGTCTGCATGGGTTTGGAAAATTTTTAAATTTGTTTTTGAAGTTAAAGATAGGACCAAAATAATTTTGCTTTCATCTGGCATTCAAACTAATTATGTTTTAACTGTAAAGTTTATTCTGTAACAGTTGAAATATTTTTGCAAAGAAATGGAAATCTCAGTAAAATGTAAGGTAAGGTTAGGGACTTATTTCTGCATAGGTTCTACTTAAGTGTACCTCAAGAGTAATCATGATAATGCATCTAAAAGCCCAGGCATCTAGAAATGTATTAACATTGAAGTTATGCAAACTTACGAAGTTATGAGCTGTGTCATGAAGTAAACTTGTACTTTCTTATTATATTTCCATGTGTCATGCAATAAGATTGTAATTGTATTTCATATAAGAAAAATAGGAAATTATTTTAATATATCCATTATTTTATTACATAAACTTCTGGTCAGCGTAAGACAATCCTGTTTTATCGGTATGAAAACACTTGTCAGGTGCTTGGTTATTCAAAATACTAGTGGGTTTTTTGTTTGTTTTCCTATTGAAATATAGTGTTTATGGTTGTATGTAGAAGGAAAATTAGTCATATGATTTTCTTTTGAAACTCAGCTGTAGATATTTTTTCTCTTCTGCATTAGTGAAACCTGAAAATTGGATGCCCTAATGATTTAGATGTTGGGGTTTTTTTTCCTAAATTAAATTTCAGAGATGCCTACACCACTCATAATCTTAAGGACCAGAGTGGTGGTCATAAATTTGGTACTTTCGTTCTTTGTCACTTTTAATATAAAATGCACTTCAAATATTATGGCAGAGAAAGACCAAATAATGACAGTTTCCAAATATCTGCTAATGCCCTGTATTTAAAAAGAAGCCAGATTATTTTAGATTTTTATTGTTAAAGAATGCCTATTAAACTCTGAAACTGTTTTGAAAATTGTGGAGTTATTTTATATTTCTGATAATGCTAAAATATCAAAAAATTCTTAAAATATTTCTCTGTTCCTTTGGAATATGGGAAGTGGAGATTGCAGTCTCTGTTCTCATACGGCTTCATCATGCTATTTTCTGACTAGGTATGAGTTGAAATATTTAAATGTAAGTTGTACTATCTACTTCTTAGAGATTTTGTGGATTAACTGCTGTGATTTTGACTCCTCTGTATTTATTTCTGTATCTTAATGGGGTAGTTCTGTATAGACAATGAAATATTAGTGCCAATGCTGATTCCTTCCCAGAAAATGTTTGGTTTCAATGAATTACCATTATAGGATAAAAAATACCTTACTAAAAAATTCTGGACATCTGTTATTATCAGTTTAATAGTTCAGTTTTTCTTTTTTTCTGCTCTTATTGCATATCTATTATACATAAACAAAGTTTTATAATCATGGTTATGCATAGCATTTATTAATCTGGATAAATACATATGCTTAAGTAATTTAAATAATTATTTTCTTTTCAGACAAGCTGTTACATTAAATTTGTCTGACTTTTGTAGTGAGTAGAGAATACTGTATATGTTTTAAAACTAAACTTACAACACTATGGGTCTTGAGAATAGGTTAACTGAGGATATAAGAGGTCAAATGATGTGGTTTGATTATGTGGCAGACCTGTAATTTTGTGACTGAAATGCAGCATGTGTTGCCTTTCTAATAAAGATGTCTCACATCTTGTCAAGGACCATTTGTTGGTCATCATATTCCTGAAGCTCTTCAGCTATTTCCCTTCAGATGGATTTAATTATACTTACAGGAATTAAACTGACATTTTCAAAGGTGTGGTTTTATTATTTAATGTGTTGTGATTTTGCTAGGGGGAAAGATGCTCATTCTCTGTCCAGATGTGGCATTACTTCTGCTGTGCTATTCGTCATGATCTATGGACTATTCTACCTCCAAAGACAGCCCAGGAGATTCTTACAGATATACTAGAGCAATCTTTGGATATTCTGTCCTCCAGATATTGTCAGGTGCATCCCAGTTACAAGAGAACACCTCAAATCAGGTAATGGTTGTATATTTAATGCACAGTTGTAATGGATAAAATAAATAAATGTTAGTTTTCTGTTATGCATTGCTTTGATTCAGATTTAAATGTTAATGAACACAGCAGAGGGGATAGACCAAATTTGTACATTTTGATATTCATTTTAATTCAATATATTCTGTATATTTAGGTATATAGGTAGTCATACCATGAGCTGGGCAGAATCAAAGACCTCTTTCAACTGTTGGTGAAATTGTTCCATAAACTGCTTGATTGGTTTGAAAGCCTCACAGTGAAAATGCATTGAGAAATGGTGATGCAACCAAAAATGTGAGCAGAATTGGCAACATCAGTATTAGAAATCCAGCTGTTGATTCATCAAGAAAACTTCATGTGTTCCAATAGAATTTGTATTTTTATAGGGCTTTTCAAGTAAAAGAGTTAGTAGGTCACATCAAAAGATTTGCCAGAATGACACCAGTGGTGCAGAAGGAGAGAGGATAAAGAGGCTATTCCTTCTTCTGTCATTTTTGGAAATAAGAAGCTGAAGTTCTTCTGATTGGGATTCTTATGTTTTGCCAGAAAGGAGAGTCTTTTTGATAGAATGCGGTTTCGTTCAAACTTCTTTCAGTTTTTTTCCTGTGGTTCATTTTTTTCTTCCCTCTCTGGGAAGCAGGCCTTGTTGTCAAGTTTTGGAGACTTGGCGGGAAGCCAGCTCAAAACTTGCACAATGTCGTTTGGAAAAGGATATTTCCAAGTTTTTTAACTTCTTTTTTTTGAGTAGTCTCAGTAATGACTTTTCTGTGGAAGTGTTGAATTCTTACAGAGTAGTGGATTCAGACTTCCTACATCACTGAAGAGGAAATTTCAAATCCATGCTGTGATTTCTACTTGTCAGAGGAAACGTCTATTTAATTGAAATTTACTACTATCCAGATGTCCTAAGTAATCTTATTTTTGCTTTTTTTTTTGCCTAAAGAATTGATATTGCAGCAATTTTGATGTCCACTGAAGATATGCTCTGGTCAAGTTGTAGTTCTGTACAGGAGTTTCTGAATCCACATGAAGACAGAGATCTCAAGATCTATAAAATACATAGCCACTGCAATAATCTGATCTCTGTGCTGGCTATTTTAACTTCACCACTGAAGAATTTGTATGAGTAAGTATGAAATAAACATTCCATTTGAGATAAAATTGGTTCTTGATCTTACATGGATAGGTCTAGAAGGTGAATATTTGTGTTGAAATCAAATGAAATGCATAGTGTTGATGCATTTTTATAATCTTTGACTATTTCTCAATTTTGTCTTGAGCTTACCTTTATGATCTTACCTAAAGCCCAATTATATCTGCTGATATTTTACTAGCCTTGGATCAAACTCCTATGTTGTACAATTTTTGGCTGTTGATAACATAGACCATAGTGAATGGATTGATTTCCTCTGTAACACAAACAGTAGAATTTCATAATAATTACTGTGCCAGGTTTGTAATTTGCTTTTCAGTTAGCATATTTTTTTTTTGAAATTCAGTCTTGTCCATCTAAAAACATTTACTAATATGTACCAAGGACTTTGGTAAGGTTTTCAAGGACTTAGTTATTCATCAATTGAAAAAAAATCATCTTACTAGTTAAAATACATCTGCCTTCAGCTTCCAAGTACATTAGAATGTTCTGCTTTCATCCCATAACATTTTTCATAAGTACTTAAATGTAAAGATAATTTACTGGAATGATCATCTGGTTAGATAATCGGTATGCTTCAACAAATATTAATATAGTTAAAAAGATAAAGAATATAGAATTGCCATATTTATGAAATCATGTCTTCACAAGTCACAGCTATAAACAAAAGGAAACATTACTTGCACTGAAATTGGGTCTGAGTCTTTCATTGCTAAAATTCTGCTGTAAATTTCATGTATGAGACAATACAAAGTGAGATCACAAGTTAAAAAAACAAGGACAACAAAACTGCAAAGTAACAAAGACACATCCTATTCAACTCTCTTATTATTCTAAGTAGGAATATTTTAGGTACTACTCGGGTGGAGACCTCCTGAATTTAGGCTTCTTCAGCTAAAAATTTTTTGTCATGTGTGGGCTCTTTTTAATATTTGTGAGCTCTAATGAACACGCAAAAGTAGATTGTAACTGGATGTTTGATCTTACACAATGCAGGCTTATGAAAAAATAGCAATTAAGAAGGTGACTGATTAGGTGTGGCTGTGGCAGTAGTAATGGAGGAGGAATGGACATCGTGGTAGCTGTAACTGCTTCTACTGTCAATTTTTACATTTCATCTTTCTTTTATGAAAGACAGAATGATGGTACAAAATAAATATGTAGTATAATTTGTTTCTTTTAGCTATTCTAGTCTCCTCCACTAAGCAACGTTGTTTACACATTTATCTATATCTAATGATGAAAATATGTGCTATATCTATATCTATATCTATATCTAATCTTTATCTAATGACGAAAATATGTGCTAACTTGAGTAGTCACTGAGTTTCAGAACAAAGTGCCAATGAAGAGGCAGCCTGTCTTGCATTTTATGTAAAATGCTACAGATAAATGACTTGGTCATATAGCTTTCATATTTAGGCATATGAATTTCACTATTGTAATTTGCTGTAGCAGCTCATTTAATTTACTACAAAGTACTCCGCAAATCACAACCAAAATCTGACAGCTTTGTTTAGAAAGAATAAAAAGAATTGTCATATTTTGTTATATAGTTACAAAAATAATATTAACACTGAAGAACATTGCTATATAGATGATGCATGTTTTCGTAAGTAAAAAAGGATTTTTTTGTGAACTTGTATTCACAATTTGTCTTTTCAAAATCTGTGGGGGTACATTATCAAAACAAGTTCCTTTATATTGTATATTTCATTACAGCCAGGATTTGTCAGGTAACCTAATCCAGTGTCCAAAATACAAAGAAAAAGAGGGTTAGCAAATTAGCTTCTTGAATGACTATATCCAACTGGAAACACTGAATCAAATTTGCAAACACCAAATTTTATGTGGAATACCTAGGTCCATTGTTTACTGAGGTGTGCATAGTTCATCAGATTAACATAACAAATTTAGAAGTTATGTCTGATTTTAAAGGAATACTTATCTTTCATCAATTCTGTTCAATTATAGTTGTATGATCACAATTTATTGTTATTATGTTAGCTTGGCTTTATATATTTCAAAACTAAAATTATTCAAATTTCTTTATTATGTTGTTGAAATGGAACAAGATAGTAGTGGTGCTGAAAAATTAATAATATCCTTAACTTCAAATAAGGTGATTCTGGCATATGCTTTCTCATTCCTAATTTTGTGATCAAGTATGTATTCAGCTATCACTTAAGAGTTTCTTTTCTGTATGGCAAACTTACTTAGACCTGGTCCAAAATTCACCTATGAATCTTGGGTTTTTAGTGCTCATTTTTCTGTGCTTTATTTTCCTCCAGCCTTCTGTGGCCTTCCTGAAGCACCTTTAGTATAACAGATATGTTGGTTGGAAAGGACAGCTGGAGATATCTAGTCCTGCCTCCTGCTTAAAGCAGAATAGTCACTAAGAGCAGTCAGACATGACTGTGTTAGCTGCCCTGTGTCAGCCTCCAGGAACTGAAGTTTTACAGCCTCTCCACGAAGCATGTTCCACAGCTGCACTGCTTTACTGCAAAGTATTGCCTAATATCTAGTGTAAACCTTCAAAGCTGTTGGCTATGACTTGCTGTATCACATCAGCCCCCACTGAGAAAAGTTTGTCGGTGTTGTCTTTGTAATTATTCTTTGGCTATTTGTACACTGCCATTAGGTTAATTGACCCTGCTATTCAATTTGAAAAACTGAAAGTATTTCTCCTTAATGTATGAGTTATAACTCGTGAAATTGCTTTTTAGTCCTGTGTATTCCTTATACAGAGTTAAATCCTTCAAACAGTACCAGGAAATACCGTCAAGATGCATTTTGTTGGCATCTCATTTCTTCACACCTATACTGAGGCTTACAGGATCAATTCTCACCTTGTTACACTCTACTGAAGAATAAAACTTCTTGCTGTGGTATTAAATGCTTTCACAGATGCTGTCTGCTGTTTTGAGACTATAGGCAGCTGCATTAAGATACCTTGAAGCAAAAACAAATTTCCTACTAGCTATTATTGTTACTTCTGTCAGAAGAGTAGCTGAATTAAACAGTCTGGCACAGAGGTACATAGCCAACAGTGGACATTAAGAAATGCTGGCATGAGAATTACTATATTATCATTAGACACTTGATTTTTTTTAGTAGTATTTGAAGTTATTCTAATATTTAAACAATCTTTAAAGCCTCAGATTATCTTCATCTCACTTTAAAAATTTCTGTAGAGATTTTGTTATAAGCCTCAGAATCCAAAAGTCTGTTGTGTGCTTCTTCTTAGGATACAGCTAATCCCAGAATTCTCTCAAATAGTTCCTAATCAATCAATAAACAACATGTGGTCTTTCTTTACTAGATTGCTACCCCAAATGTATCTATTGTGCTTTCTTTTAGGATTTTTTGCTCTATGCTTTGCTATATTCAGAAAAATATTTCAGTGATATGAGAGACAACGATTTCTTTTTTGTTTTAATTCTCTCATAAAATTGACATTAATGTCTTTAAAATAATTATTTTTCTACTTTAAGTTCTACCTTTATCTACATTAGAATCTCAGCTTTATTTTTAATCTTCAGGTTTTCATGTATTCACAAAGAGCACTGTGCTAGTCCTTCTGTTTGAATATTGCTTACCTAAGATCATTTAGATGTCCGTAGTAAATTCTTTCTACTAATTTTTTGTTATTAGTAAAATTAGTTTCCAAATACATCACCCTCTCTTTTGGAGAAGTTCAGAAACTTTTAGACCTGCCTTTCTTGTTGAACAAGTGTAATTCTCTCTCTTCTTTTATCTGGGGTCTTTTAGGCAGACAGTGACCTAATAGACATGTAGCTGCAGTTCTAAATTACTTACATGGAGGAGTGAAAGAAAGCTAAAAAGTAACTTTAAATAAGTAAATGACAAAACACAAGTTCTATTAATGCCATGGTGACAAAGCACAAGATTCTGGCTTTTAGGTTAGGAATTCCTGAAGGCTGTATTCCAAAGGGTTTCCAGCCTATCTCCTGTTTTAAGTGTTTAGATCCACTCTCACTGCTTCCATTTCATGGCAGTAGCTTTCTCTGGTCATATAAAAAAGTTCTCTTGTCCTGAGAAAGTCCTCACATCTTTTCCTGAGGGTTTTCTCTCAGTGCAATAGAAAGAATACTGACTTGAAAGTGGGAATTACATTGATTCACTTCAGAAAATAAAGCAAATATACAGTGGCATTTTTATACCTTCTTTATATAACTTAGAAAATCACAGCCATGATACATAAAAAAACAAACTTCAGAGAAGGAAAGTTATTATGATGAGAAATTCACAGCCAAGTAAGATGAAAAGGTGCTTGGGAAGTGACAATTGTTTATAGTTAATGGAGGATGGATGTAACAAATTATATCCTCTCTGCTGGAATTGTATTCAGTGTAAATGAGAATAAAAAGGGAAAAGGCCAAGGGGCATCTATTCCTATGACACATTATTACATCCTAGTGGTTGCTACAGAATTGTACCAATACTATTGCTAAACAGTAATTAAAAGCAAATACTAAATTATGGAATCCTGTTCTTACATATACTTATAATCCTATCCTATAATGAATAAAAATAGTTAATTTTTAGTGTCAGTGGATTGGACACGTCTTGGTTTTTGCCACTCACATCCTTTGAGTAAGTGAAGTACTGCAGTAGTGACATCAAACTAGCTTATCTAGTTCCTCACCAGATTCTTGTATTTGAAAGCAACCAGTATGCCAATTCTCATAAGCTAGTGGAGGTCTAAAGCTTCTGGTTGAAATTTTTGTCCAGTTTAATCTAAAGTCTATAGGTACTTGTATGTCAATTATTATCACTTCAAAAAATATTTTATTTATCATTGTTATAAAGGTATTTATAATACAATGCATTTGTTATGCAGAAAGAAAAGAGCAGTAGAAATGAATGACTGAAGAGCAATTTGCTTATTGAATGCATTTTCAAATGCAGTTTGAAAACATGCTATATAAGAGTAAAAATATGCAGAAAACTTCTTTAACAATATAACAAGTTTCAGAGTGAAAGTATATAAAATATAAAATGATACTTTTAACAGTATTAATAGATTAATATCTATTAATATAAATAAATCTATTAATATAAATAGATTTGCAATTATGGGTATGCATATGTATATTAGTACTATTTTATATTATGTATATTAGTACTATTCATTTGGTACTAGTGGTCCAAAGGGATTTTCAGTCTCTTGTGTAATTCAGAAATATCTGGTTTCTTTCAGGACATTACTGAATAGTTGTGGTGAACATCTTCCTCAAGAGTCTTCAGAAGTCTTTTATCATCCATCACATTGGTTATTTTGCATACCATCATCCTGTTTTTTCTTACTGAAGTGAGTATCATAAGTTGATGGTTGTAAAGGCATCAATGGATTGTCAGTATTAGTCAAATACTATGACAACATTTTGAAAAGAGTGTATCTGAATAAATGTTTAACTAATATTCTGATGTTAAAAAGGCATAGAAGCATTTTTTATTCATTACAGATTTCTCTAATCTTTGAGAGCCTATAAGAAAGGTCACACTGAAAGCAGTGCACTGTGTTTTGCTAGTCTAGTCATTATGTTCGATATTTGAATTGTCTCTAAGCTTTTCTGGCTTTAATTAAAGGGTATATAGCTTTTGACAATAATGTAGTTCACTACAGTTGCTGTTTTGAAGGACTTATAATTAAAGGGGAGATAAAGAATGTATGCCTTTCTGTGTATGATTGGTGGTTAAAAAAATGATTTGATATATACATGACTCCTTGAAAAATAATGCTGCTTGATCATAGTTAATTTTTTTGGAGATTATTGAATGATTAAAGGCAAAAGCTTAATTTCTTTTTCTGTGTCACAGAAATGTAATGACAAATTACATATAAGATATATGCTACCAGCTGTGCTGTCATTCCATTTCTAGTTTTGAAGCTGAAGCACTCCCACACCAGTGTAGATCCTCTCCTAACCCCTTCACCTCCTCTTCCTCCTCTTCAAAGTTATTTCTTGAGAGATTTTCACTCTCCATTTTCATGAAGGGCTGCTTCTGGGAGTTCTTACTATGTGTTTTCTGAGAAGGTATTTTTACATTTTGTAGAAATACATTATCATATGATTGGTGACCTAATGATGACTTATTTGTGACCAGTGTGCTGTGGATTTATTATCTCTTACCTTGTACACACAGTATCTTGTACTATGTACATAAAAATATTTTCCCTGTAATTTTGCCCCATGCTACACAAAACTTAGCGATTTCTCTCCGTAGCCTTCACTCCTAACTACATGTCATCAGTACTGTTATCTCCTTCCCAGGGGCCTCTGATATCTGCTGAACCAGAGGCAATATATGTTTTGACTGCATCAAAGTCATGCGGTTGGCTAAGTAAGAGCCAAACAGAGTTGAGTAACTGGTGAATTCAGAATGTGTCTTTTTACCTGCTAGAAACAGTAATTTAAGTTCTTTAAAAGCTTGAAGCATCACATGTGTTTACGTCTATCACGCTTCAAGGAAATTTGTTGGTGGCTTTTTAAGTTATGCATGGTTGGAGAGAAAGGAGAGGAGAAGGTGGATATAGGAAAGAGAATGACTGCGTGATCCATTAGAAAGGGATCTACTCCATTTCTGGGAAAATTTATGCTTCATTAAGTGTTCATTGTAGAAAAGACAATAAGCTTTTTGATACCCTCATCCAAGGCCAGTACTCAAAATTTAAATTATACTGTGAATTATGAGTTTTGGAAGATGACTTGAAAAGTGAGTACCCTATGCTGTGTAAAAGTATGTAAAGGAAATGCTGCTACCATTTCAGTCTGATATAATTATCTTTTCCGAGGTGGAATTAGGATAAATTTGTCTTGCATAAATAGCAAACTATTCCAGAGCTATGCAGTATGCACTTTTTCCCCTAGATGACAGGAGATAAAATATACATCCTCTTGATCACCAAGTGGAAAAATGAGGAGCTCAAAAGAAAGCACGTATCTGAGAAGATACAGCTGGTGTACCTATGTGAGGACAGTCCATATATAGAGAGTCTTCTGTACTCTCCTGGTGATAATGAGTGAACTACACTGGTAAAATATTTAATGTTTTCTTTTAACAACACACTTTTCAGCTGCTCAGAAAAAAGGAACAGTGAAGGGCTCTATATGTAATGAAGTAATTTGTGCGACACATTCTAAGATGGTCTAGTTTTTTCATTGGTTTTATACTCTATGTCAAGGAAACTTTTTTTCTTGAAATAATTGCAATTTTGAGCATTAACAAGACATGTTTAAGTACTGCAGTAAACTGTATTTTAGAGCATGCTAACTATTCATGGATTGTTTTGTGGTTTTACATCTTACATCTAATAAAAATACATATTCACTGTTCGTAACAAAACTGAGAGCACAGGTCATTGTACACCTCTCAACTGTAGCCACCTAATCTTTAACTAAATACTCTAACCTGTCATACATCCAACTATTAAGTATTTACTCTTCCTAGGCTTGATATTTCAAAAGAAAGTTTCACTAGTTCCTGAAATTATTTTGTTTACTATATAACCTGATTTACTACATTACTTTTGATCACTGAAAATGACTACAGTCTGTTTTATCAATTTGACTCCAACATTTTGTCAAGGTTGTTACCATGAATTAGCATGTTTATTTGCCTTATAAAATCCTGCACTTACCACTTGAGGTTTTCTTTCTTTCTGTGTTGGATACTAACCAGAATAATGTAGCTGGTTATCAAACTAAATAATTACTGATCATTTGTATTACAGTTCCTTTAGAGGTAATTGTGATTCTTTTAGTGGCAATTGTGATTCATCCTTTTTTTCTTTTTTGGGGCTTATAATCATACCATTTGCAAATCAAAGTTGTTTTTTTTTTCTATTAGTGTACAAAACTGAACATTTATATGTGTGATATTTATATGTACTTCACCTTTTGTCACTTTTTATGAGGCTAGTCTTATTTTCACTAGAACTGAGCTACGAAGATAGGAGAACATATGCCTCTCCATATGCACGTTACAGAACTTCTCAGTGCATTTGTTGGTGCTAGCTTCATGGCTGCAGGGAATGTCTGCTATATTTTATTTTTCCTCCAAGTGAATCACACCATTGTACACTTCAATTTGCAAGATGCTTAAAGAGCCAAGAACTGGTGTATATTACAACATGATAATTTCCCATCTGGTCAATGACAGACAAGTTTTTATTCATTTCAAATACTCTAAAAATGTAATTTATTTCTATTGTAATTTGAAATAATATCCTTCATAAATGTAATTGACCAAATTTGTCCCTTATTTTGTAGTTTAAAGGCAATGAGTGATTCTATTAGATATGATAACATGACATTCAAGGGAGAAAAAAATATTACACTGGCCCATATATTTTAACTGAATTGGTCAAGTGTTGAGTTTGCTGTCAGCCACAGCACTAACTCTAGTGAGAATACAGTAATTGTTGTAATTTTAACTTTGATTACTAACTGCTAATTAGTTCTTAACATGCATTAGATTATATAGATATATAACTAATGTTGAACATACAGAAATTAAGATAGTTTTATTAAGAATGCAAAGCCCTAAGGTTGACAGTTTGAATGCAATATATGTTTAAATATGGAAAAGTTATATTGACTACAAGTTCTATCAATATTTAAATGTATATGTATATATATTTTTGGTAAATATTACTAGAATGCAGTATGTGCTACTATGTAAATAGTAGAGCCAGTGCTACATTGTCAGTAATTATATATAAAATACCAATTGAAAATCAAAAAAGCTGTACATAAGTTTTCCTGGCCTATACGTTGCTTATCAACTCAGAGGTATTTGCTGTACTGTTAAAATTGCAAAGGCTGGCATGTATAAAATCTTGCTTTACTAAAATTACTGTTACAGTGAAGTTTTGACATAATAGTGTGATGTAAGGGTCCTGGTGGGAAATGGTGTTATGGAAGCTTGGTTTCCTTAGATTACTGCAAGATTGCCTGCAAGATATGTGTATTTCTGCTTTTTTGGTAACAGAAACATAGAGACATGTGAGGGGGAACTAAATTAGAGGAGTGTATCAGCTGACATTTTCATTTCCAGGTGTTGTAGGTTTGTATTGAGTATATTATATATACAGTAACCTTGACTGAACAGCAGAGTATTTGTGCAGTCATCTCTGTTTTTTTTCATGTGTGCATTCGAGCAGAGTTTGGTGGTGACACACTTGGCTGAGTTAGATGGCTGTAGAAGTGTGCAACGTAATGGAGACATTCCCCCCTATTAGAACAACCGCATGAAAGCATTTTAATTCTGTCCCAATGTGTAAATGGCACATAAAGTGTTTTGAGCAGAAGCATATAAATCCTTTTCTAGTCTGACAGGAAAGTGTCATACTGAAAACATCCTGATGAAGGTTTCAGCTGATGCTGAAGGTGTTATGTGCGTACTGGCAGATAATATTTATGCCTGCACAGTTAATACGCTAGTCCATATGTAGTTTTTACACTGGTGCATGTAACATTTATGTGCATAGAAGTTTACATAGGAGGTGCATAAAGTTTCAATGTTAGCAACTATTGTATAAACTTGTAGCAAAAATAAATAAATACAGTGGCTAAATATCAGTTGAAATTTAATTTAAATACCTTCAGATTAATAAAAAAATAAACTTGCAAGAAAAAGTCTACAATCCAATTTTGAAAACTTCTTTTAAAAAATATTTCAAGAAGAAGAAAATACTAAATACAGTAGGTAATAAATATCTTGCAGGACAGATTTTTTTTTTTTAACTGTAATGTGAATTCAGTGATTGGTGTTGTGTTGCTGGCTGAGTTCAGAGGAAGCCGTGCAATATTTTTATTTGGAAACCTCAAACATGGAAACTACAAACAGGAAATAATCTGCAATCTCTTCAAAAGCTAATAAGTTTGTACTACACTTTCTCGTTTCTCCCTGCTGGCAAAGCACTAACTTAACCAGTCTAATATTTCATGTGGATTTTTTAGGACATATAAGAATTGGTCAACCGAATCTGGAATTTTGCAACCCTTTTGAGCATTTTCTCTGTTTTTTAGTTAAGAGTTTCATATACTTCATTAAGACAGTTTCTTATTGAACAATTGATGTAATACTGAACTAAAAAGTAATAGCCTTAAATATATTCAAGCACGGAAAAAAAAAATCTCCTTTTTACTTAGTAGAACAAGACAAACATGGTTCCATGAGAGAGATAAGTGGCTTTGTATCAGTTATAACTTTGGCAGACTACCAAATGTTAATTTGCTTTTAGCTAGTTGAGATTAAATGTAATTCCTTCCCTGAGCTGCCTTAAAGTAAGCAAGCATGAAAGCATTTTCAGAGTAATCTGGGAGGAATTGACATTTAAGGGAGTTAGCATTACCTCTGCAATTTAAGGTTATTAATTTCATAGATAAATTAACTACATTATTCTTTATCTTGCATTTTGAAAGGATTCCATCAGCCAGAGAAATGGCAGCCCAGGGTCAGCTGAAACTGCTCTTATCCCAGCCGTATTGTAATTTGAACTTGCTTTTGGACACATTGCTACATCATGATTGTCTCTTAGTGAAAATTTTGCTGAGGAGCTCAGGTAGGTATTTATACTGTCAATCCATATAAGAATATCAGTGAAAAACACATATTCATTTTTAACTACTTAAGTGCTGAAGGAAGGCTGTCAACCATGCTGGAAGGGTTTAGGTAGCCTTTCCATTATGAGTAGTACACTTCTTAAATGGGTTAAAAGATAGAAAAAGTCATTGCTTTTTTAATGACAATGTTTTGTGCTCAATCTGTGTATTAATAGTTTCAAAGCAGACTACAGTTTGATAAAATAGGCTGCTATCATAAATGCAAAGGAGTCAAAATGAATTTGAGCTTAACAGAGCTATGTGATACCTCAACTACTTTACAGAGATTTTTAAAAGTGTGGATTATACTTTCAAAATTATATTTCAATAGTGAAAAGCTTCTTAGATATTGTTAAACTTATTATATGTTTGTCACTGTAGGCATTTTAGAATTGCACTTATATGCTTCCTGTTGTTAATCCGTTAATGCTATTTTGAAAGTAGAACAAATAAAAGAATGGTTCTACAGGTTTTTTCTGTATTGGTGTTGTGTTTGAAGCAACAAACTTTATCACATCTTTCCTTTAATATCTTTCAGATATTGTTGAAAAGCTAATGGTATAATCACCTGTTTGATGTAATCTTGCAGGAATAGTGAATGAGGGTCTTGGTTTCTATATTTCTTGGCAAAAGAATTCTTCCTACTTATAAAAAAAACCATTATGTCCACATAATATTAGATGTAACATAATTTAGTTCTGTTATTTTAAACTCATCTAGTATTTGTCAGAGGTACAATATAGCTTTCACTGCTATCATGCATCTTATTGAGAGCTGCAGTGCATACATTTGCCTACTCAAACACCTGTCTACTTTTACAAAGACTGGTAAATGTTTAATCAGGGTCATATTCTTACCCTAATGTTAACCAGTATTGAAGTTTACTATCTGTTTAAATTATTAGAGGTAATAAGTGACATAATGTATTAATCTATTGACTGAGCAACCTCTTAAGCTTTAGGGAAATCTGTTCCTTTGAATTACAAAATGTGCTATTTACACAGGCTTTATTAATGTAACTACAATATTGGTATGAATAAACTTTCAGTTTAGATAAAGTTGATATCTGTGATGATCCACATCTAAATTAATTTCAACAGGGTTAATTGTCTAATGACAAAATGTTTGTATTCTTTATTCCTTCTCCTATACAGCTAAGTATACCATAGTTTTTGAGCGATTTGCCGTAGTGATAACAAAACTCCCTGGTATTTAACTACATAAGGATTTTTTTAATAGGAAAAGCCTTCTCACATTTTTAACACTCAGAAAACAGTCCAGAAGGCAAAAATTCTCTATAAAGAGGTGTGTATATGTGGATGGTTTAAGGAATGGATAATTTTTTTCTGTATTGTACTAATACTTTGGGATAGTTAAAGCAGAAATCTTCCAAACACATTTAATTTAATTGCAGTCCCATTGTTCTCATGGTTGTACTACAGTGAGGTTCAAAAATAATGTATGTTCCCCATCACAGTAGGGAGTATTGTTGGGATTGACAACGTTTTTTCAGTAGAAAGAGTATTTTGAGAGAATGCATTTGTCTTGGTTTATAGACAACGTGTGCTAGGAGGCGGGACCTCCAACGGAATAGAAACCCCTCCCTCCAAATTACGAGAATTTAAAATTATGAGATGTTCGAGTAAAGTGTAGAAACAAATAAGAGTTTTTACTAAAAATGGAGAACAAAACACAGTAACCACAGAGGTACAGGGAGAAAATGGTCTGTCTCTCCACCCCCTTCCCTGGAAAGACTGGAGACCGCTTGGCTCTCCCCCAGGCAAGCAAAGGGACTACAAGGAGTATGGCAAAGAGCTTTTTCCCCCGCAGATTCCACGCCACTAAAAAAACCCCAAAACCTGGGTAGTTATTTTGTTCCTGCTGGTTGTGTGAATTTGGCTCCGATGGTGAGCTGTGTCTGATACAGGGCTCCCCTCCAATCGCCTGCAGCTTGCGGCGCGGGGGTGGTGAGGTGTGAGCTTTCAACCTGCTGCAGCTGCTGCAGTGGCTGTTCTCACCCCTGGCGGCTGGTGGTGAGCAGAGACGGTGTGGGTCCAGCCAGTGACACGTGGGACTGACGCGGTGGAGGTCAAAAGGCGGCGGAGGTCAAAAGGCGGCCGGTCAGAGTGGCAGGGAGCTGGCCTGGGTCAAAAAGTAGCTGCAGCAGTTGGTCGAAAAGGCAGCTGTGGTCAGGCTGCAGGCAGGAGCAGTGGCCACACTGGTGGTCCGAGGGCAGAAGATGCACTGGCAGGGGAAGCGCTGGTATGAGGAGCATTGCTGGTGCTGGGGTGCCTTGGCTCATGTACCAGCAATGAAGCCGTGGGGACAGCAACCCCAGGTGCTGTGAGTCAGGAGGCCAGCAGCGAAAGCACGGAGGGGGTCCGGGGGCTGTGGGTTGGGTGACCAGCAGGTAGCGAAAGCTGAAATGTATATAAAAAGTAAAATATGAAAATAAGAAGTTATTGCATCAAAAATACTAAAGGCAATAAATCAGGTTATGCCAAACCAAACCGCTTACTTGTCTCCACTGAGTATGTCCACTGGGTAAAGGCAACTTTGAAAAAAATAGTTGAAAAATTAGATTTGCATATTTGACCTCTATAACTTAGGCTACAAGTCTAAATAACCCAGATGGGTTGAAGTACGGTTAATTACAGTCATATAATCCTAGAGTTGTTTTCTATAGGTCAAACATTCAGAAAATTTCTTTCTAAGACATGTTGAGTGAGTGAAGGGTTTAAGGTCTTTGCTGTGGCTTTGTGGAGAGAAATAGAGTTGTTATTTCCAGGAACCAGGAGGTATTCTTGGCATGATGAAACAAAAAGCAGTAGCTTTGTTGAATTACATTGGCCCAACACAAGATTATTACCAGAGGGGACCTCATCAGTCAACAGACACCTCACCACATATGAACAGAAGATAAAGAAGTCACTGAGAAATCAGCAAGGCCTTCAGTCAGTCCTTGGGCCTCAAACATACTTTTGTTTAAGAAGAGATGGCAGTCTCAAGGATCTGATAAACAATACTAAATGCAATGTATTCCTTTTTAGTTTTAGAAATAATCTTATTCATTACCCCGAATACATGAGACTCCAGTTGTTACAAAGATTTAATTTCACTTTCTACACACAACTTTAAAGTGAATACTGCCATGTGCAGATAAACTGGAAGAAAACTGCTTTCACGACAGGACCAGACCACTGGCAGTTGCATCTAATGTTTTTTGGCTTGCACAATACATACTTGTGAGACTAATAGAAGTAATATTGTGTAGTCTGTATATTAATGACATTCTGGTCCCCACTAAAACTTTGAAATGAGAACTGATAGTAATGTTTGCAAGTATTCTGTGGTAAGTTTAAAGTTGCAAGTCTGAAGTTGAACCCAAAGAAATGTGAATTACTTCAAAAAGAGATCATTTACCTTGCACACATAAGCAGGTTGGGGAAGAGAGGATTTCCACCGAGAAAATAAAGTTGTGTGGTGCACTATCAGCCAATTCACTAGACACTAATAAAGAGTTTTCTGAGACTGTGCTTTTATTAACCAATTTCTGGAAAGAGATTTTTTCCCCCCTCTAATTCTTTGCCCTCTGTGAAACAGTTCTCTAACTGCCACAATGTGCCATCTTAAGGTAAATTGTAAGTACTAACTGAATTTTAATCAAATTTAATTACACTTACGGGTAAATAGCATTGATTTTTTGTAAGTTGCCCTAAAAGAGCAGTGAAAGGTGGTAACTTTACCAATTGGCCTCACTTAGAAATTAGACTGAACTGTTAATGACAGTACTGAGTTATTACAAAAGAAAATGCACATGCCTTGCATAAATGACCAACTCCATTAAAATTCTGGCTTTGGCTAAATATGTAACAATTTGACACTTTTATTTCAAGTACGTGGAGGTCATTATTTTTGTACTTTCTTCTAATGATTTACTGGATTTAATAATCTGTTTATCAGACAAGTGAAAAAACTAGCAACTGTGCTAGTCCTGTGGTTCAACCACACACTATTGTATTTCCCCAAAATACAATCTTGCAGATTTTTTCACAAAACTTCAATGTTAATCTGCAATCCTGTCCTCATTAGGAGAGCAGGAGTAAATCTCTTACAGGAATTTATATGCTTGTGGAGAGATAGATCATTCCTCCACCTATTTGTGGATCACGCAGTGAGAAACTTATGAGTACACCTGAAAGTCTTCTTAGCCTCTTATGATAGGAATCTGTGTCATGGTAGCCTAACAAATGATTAAAAGGTTACTTTAAACATGGCATCTCCTCAAAATGTCCATCTGACCAGTAAGCTTACTGGATTCTGTACCTCCATAACCAATGAAGGGTTTACTGATGTACTTCTAGCTGGAAGATAGGTAAGAAAGGGACCTTAATCAGATATCCTGCTCTGTTTGATGACTTTCCAGTGATAAGCTAAAGAAAACAGTAAACAGATTTTATGGAGTTTCTGAAAATTTGAATAGGAATTACTGTTTGGACTATAGTAGAGCCCTGCTGCAAATCACATACCTTCTCTTGACAAAGTAGTAGCAGATAAGTGCTGGATGAGTGATAATGTTAGCAAGTTACTGGGAGGTATTTCTATCAGTAAGAAAGAAATATGGAGAAATAGCACTTGTAACTCTGCCTTTCTGAAAATAGGTTTTTAAAATACATGGTAGTATCCCAAGAGGTTTAGTGCATTATTTTGTCATAGGAAGAATGATTCACTGTGAATGGTATAGCTATTATTCAGTAGATACATATATTTCTTACAAAGTATTTGAATATATTTTGATACTGTCTGTGCCTGTGGAACATTATGCTCTATGGAAATAACAAAGAACAGATTTAGCAGATTTAGATTCCCTTCACAGACTAGCTTTTGCTATACAAATGCAGTCAGTGAAAAAAGATAAATGTATAGAGAAAAACATCAGTGGGCAGTAAGTATGATGCCTATCATATAAATTCTGTTCTTATGTGATAATTAACAAGGAGGCTGCTTTGGAGTTCAAACGAAGAGGAATATTTAATGTTATGACAGGTGAGCTAATAAACGTAAAAGAAAAAAATCTAAGGCAAGAGAATATATCTTTCTATATATCTTTCTCTAGACTCCTTATTCATAATATTTACCCAGCTATACTGATCAGCTAGCTGAAGTTGTCAACTGACATTATCCTTTAAGATCTTTTCTAACCCAAGGGATTCTATGATTCTGTGATTCTATGGTCCATACCTGCTTATCAGTCAGAAAACTCATTTTAACCTTAGCTTTCAAAAGTCAGCTATTCTTACAACAAGGGCAGCCTTTACTTCAGTGTAAAACAGGAAAAAGCTGATGAATGCTCGCATTGTGTTTAGCCACAGAATAGTTTACCAATGGATTAATGAAGATCTTTGCTTAAAAGCATAAGGCTTGTATTACACACTAGTTATTCAAGATGTATGTATAACACCCTCTACAGAATTCTTTTATACTCCTCTTCCTTTATCTAAATCTGTTGGTAGCACTGAGTTGATTAGAAAAGTTAGTAATAAGTTGTGACTCAAACTTTCCTTATGGCATGGTCATAGAACAGATTTAGGCTTAATTTCAAGTCATAAACTCCTTTAAACACATCAATTTCCCATGTTCTGCGAAGACAGTTTACATAATATTTAAAATCTCAGCTAGCCCTCCTCCCTAGAATTCAGTTAAATTAATTTAAAAAATAAATACTTATGGTAGTATAATTGAAGTTCAATTCAAATTTCATCTCACAGTTTGAATACCTTTGGGTTTTCTTTTTTGAACAACTTTTTCTGCTTTGTTGGTTATTTCTTTGTCATATTCATATTAGAAGACATATCCCTGGTGTCTTGGTTTAATGACAATCTATTCAGGAGGTTAGACCTCTAATGAGATGAGCCCTCTTTTTTTTTTTTTTTTTTTTATTTCCCTCCTCCCAGTATAGAGAAGGTAAAACTTATGAGGAGTCTGAACGAAGAAGGGAAAATAACAATTTTACCAAAAAGGGAAAGAAACAAAAACCCACAAGATTAGAAAATATTATCTAGCTATCTGCCTTCCCCCTAGGTTAAAACAAAACCTGGAAGGCTATTTTGCCCAAAGAAGGCGCTATGCTGCTGAGGCGGCGGTGTGGGTTGTGGCGTAGCAAAGCATGTTGGGTGTCAGTGGTGGGGCCGGGGCTGATGCGGCGTGGTGCTGCGGCCCGGTGGGCTCTCAGCAGGCAAGAGAGCGAAAGGCTGCAGCTGAGACAGTGGCGACGCCCAGGAGGGGAATCCCTGCGCTGGCAGTGATGGCAGCTCTCTGCCTGTTGCGAGATGGCTGCTGAGGCGGCAGCGACTCCGTATGGGGCTGGGCACACTGGGACGGCAAGGCTGGGGCCAGGGTGTCCCCGGTCTGATGCAAAACCAGCTCTGAGCTGAGGCAAAAAGCAGCCACAGCTGAGGCACGATGCCCCCCTGCAAAGACTCTGAGAGTCTGCGGTGCTCCAGTGGGCAAAAACCAGGTACAAAGAAAAGGCAATTTTGGCCCCTGCCCTCCTTTTATCTCCTGTCTTCTAAGTTCCCAGGATGCTCCACTGCAGGGACCCAATTTTCCGGTGGGTTCCAAGACAGTAGGGACAGGTCAGATGAGGAGCTGTCCCCCATGCTCCAAATTACCTGGTGGTATGACGTATTCATCGCTGAAAATTCTTCCCATTTAAGTAAAACTACAACACCTGGTTGTGAGTGAATTGTGAGGAATCCATTTAATTCTTCATTCAGAAGCATCGGGCATTGGAAGCAATATATGCCAGCTCACTCAACTCATAGGAAAAAAAAAAACCTGATTAAAAAAATCTTATTGCTGACCTGTCTGCTGCCTTGGGAAAAAAACCCCACACCTTGTTGGTTATGAAATCACTGATCATGTTTTTTAGATTTTTACATACTCTGGGCTGTTTCCATTAAGGTTGCACACTATCCAAATTGACTGCTTTACAATAATGTGTGAATTAGGTTGTTGGAATTCAGAGGAGAGTAAAATGAGATTTTTAAATTTTACAACATTCTCAAGCCATTCATTCAAAGATAGGTGGAAAGCAACAGTGCCCCACTGTGATAGATTTTGAAGGCTGTTTGAATTGCTAGAAAAAACACAGTCTAGAAATTTAGTCTCTCCTATCTTTCTTCTGCACAGGTTGCTACAAGTAAGGACAGCCAGACTGGCAGAAAGCAAAGACATTGTGAAGCATTTTATTTAAATAATTTTTACAGAAACCTCCAGTTTTGCAAACTAGAAATTTAAATTAAAAGTACTTAATGGATTCTGGCTCTGTCATTTGTTACGATTGTTAACATCACAATGATATTCTACAAATATGTGGGAAGCTGAGGTCTTTGACATTAGCACAAGTCAAAGCCATTGAGTCACATTGACTTCAAGAACTTTAAACACATCATGATCTTTCAGCTGGGAGATTACTTTGTAGTGATTCTCAGAAACATCTGGAAATACATGTTTTATAAGCCATTACAGTCAACTCTATGAAAATCACTAGTTGTCTTTAAAATGTCTACCTTAACAGGGCTGCGATTTTGTTTTGCAGAACTGTTTTATTCTGAGAAACAAAGCCAACACATTTGGGGAACTATGCAGCTGCTGCTTTTTTAAATGTTATATAACTAGAGTTCTATTGTTTCCTATGACCATAATACCAGTAAGAGGAGTTAAGCAGTAATAGCTTTTGGACTGTGATTCTACAGAAGTAGTACAGTTTAATTCTGATTAATATTTAGTAAATAATTTCTAATTATAAACTGAGTTAATTTTGAATTAAATAGGCATATTCCATAATTTGAAAACATGCCTGAGTCTTTTTTTAATGGCTACACATAATTCAGGAAGACAGTCAACTGTCATTATGCAGAGGAAGACCAGACTTTAGTATCTGTAATGTTATTGTTGTTTAAAACATTATTCAGATTTAGTTTGCAGTTTGTTTTAATTAATGCTATCTATTACTGAGAACTTGAATTACTTGGAAATTATTTGAACCATGTTTTTGTTTATTTTGAAGGACATGAAGCATTGAATCGTGATGAACAAAGTTCTCTCTTAGAACAGATAAATAACAAAGAGCCTACTCTGATTGAAACAATCTTCACAGTATTGTCTTACTGCACTTTATCGCCCAAATCTCTTGGCATTGCTTTTGAGACCTACATGGAAAAAGAGCAGTTGTGGAATTGCTTATACAGTATGACAGGTATTTAATTTATTAATAAGCACTTAAATCTGACATTAAACCCTGTTGGTTTTCAGACATGTAGTGAATATTTTTTTTTTTACCTTGATAAATCAGGTAAAATGATGGTAGTTTATTTCAAAATTATAGTATAATTGAAGTGTTCTGTGCAATTGGGCCATGGTAGGAGTGATGAAAATTTTGAAGAACACAGAGGTTTAGGAGCAGTGTAGTCAGTGAGGAGTCTGATTACCTTAAGTGTCTGTCTTACCAGCAGGCTGTCTGCAGAACATTTCTGTAGGTCTCTACCAGTAAAGATTCTTTGTCTCTATGCATTAAGGATTCCAGACCTTTGCCATGATTTAAAAATAAGACAGCATTGAAGGAGAGCAGAAAAAGAGAAGGAAGCACTCCTTCTCCTATTGAGGGAGAAATACCCTGATGGGGATATAGACTCTGCTGTCAACAGGCAGAGAGCCTCTTGATTTTCAGTGAAGAGAGAGAGCTGCCCTAACAATTAAAGCAACTAAAACTGTCCCCAAGGAAAAGTAGTATTCAACCAGAAAAGAGGGGTGAGATTTAGAAGGGTGATATTGCAAATTATGCATTAAAAATAGGAAGGTTCACAGGAAAAGAAAGGAAGAAAATGGGAAAATGTAAAAGGAGAAATAGGATTATGAGTATCACAAAATAGAAAGCAATGGTGATAAAAGTGCTCAGGAAGTTTAAGGTGTAAGCTGAAGAAAAACAGAAATGTTGCATGGGAGCTTCCAGAAAGGCCATGATTAGATCAGCAAAAACCACAGAGAAACAAAAATATGAGTGAAGGATCTAACATGTCAAAACACATCTCTGATATGCTCTGCAACACTCTTCCTGACAACTGCAGCTCCACAGCAATGGAGAAACTACAGTTTGCTGTGGTATTAAGAATGTGGAGAAGATTGATACTTGTAATGTGAATAGCTGTACTTATGATGGTCTGTTTTCAACATGCAATCACTGATGACATGCTGTGTTTCCGTTGATGACTATTATTTGTATGTATTTTTGTTTCCGAGATGCCTTTTCTTTCTTCGCAGTTCTCTAGTGCAACAGTTTGGGTATCTAATAAATGCAATTTCATTAATCCTTCAAAACAAGGAAATAGGAAAAAAAGGTATATCTGTTTGTCTCATTGATGCCTAACAAATAATTAAATGTTTTCCATATTAAAAAGGAAGACATTAATCAGTTTAAGTTGAATTTTTATAAATCTATCAATGGAGAAATGAGGATGAAGAAAATAAATTGAAATATTTTTTGTTAGTACTGTGTTAAGATGGTACAAGATGGCTATATTATTTTGCTTTATATTCTTTCTTTAATTTGTAACACACCAAAAGGTCTAATTTATTATGAATCATAATGTTGCTACTTTTCTTTCCATAAGAATTCTGAACCACTTTTTTCTGAAACAGATTTACACAAATGACTACACTTACTGAATTTTTAATAATTATTCCTTCTAAAGTTTCCAGTTGTGGTGAGTCAGAGCCAGAAGTTATCAGATGCTTGAAGTTGACTTTGATTAATTCAGTCAAGGGTGTAGTGAAACAGATTATTTCTTTGATGCATTCATGGGAGGCAACAGAAAACTATGGAACTTACCAGCACAAGCAAATAGTACCTGAAAGTTTACTGAAAACAGTTCCAAAGGAATGGAATTACACTCCTCGGGAAATGAAGAGAAAAGAATCTGGGAAATGTAGGTGACATTTATACTGTTTTATAAGTTTGTCATAAGAACTTGTTACACCTTTAATGCCTAAACTGGACAGTTAGATTTCGTGAGTGTTGTAGTTTGACAGTGAACAAAACAATTTCCAAACATCCTGTGGTGGTTGGGGTTTTTTTTAGTACTTCTTGTTAAAATTCAGTTATTCCTTCTTGAGGCTTACACCATGCATACACAAACAAGGTTTTGAAAATAATCAGTATTGTAGTACTGCTAATAATAATACTGAAGATGTTTTTAGCAACTGGCAGTAATAGGGTGGGATTCAAGGCAAAGTAAAAATAGTGTCTATGCTTTGGTCTCAATGGCTATAACCAGTTTTCCTTTTCATTATCATCTCCTCAGTCACGATTGTTATTCGTCCCAACTTTACAACATAGCAATTTATGTTTGAATAAAAAAAACCACTGAAACTGTTATAAAATATGCTACTACCTGGTTGTTGAAACAGTTAGTGAAGAAAGAAATAATATTCACAAGAGGAGATATTTGGAAGGTGATTAGATATAAAGTTGATTTCTGGTATATATTTTTATAATCTAGAGTGCCTAAAGCATCTGTCATTTCAGAAGGTTAACTTTTGGAAACATTTAGTCATAAATTATTGCCACCAAAATATTACCTGATTACTTTCAATACTGTAGTATCACTGTAGTATAGCTTGGCATGAATTTTTGAATATGTAGATTGTGGCCAAGCCAGGGCATCAATGCATTCTTTCTTTCCATACATGTTCATTTCACTGCACTCTCACCTTAGTTTAGAACTTGTATGGCTATTTTAGGTTATTGCTAAGCATGAATGGATATACAAACTGAGACATAAGGCTTAGGCTTAAAAGCAAATTAATTTTTCTGTGTGATGTGTAGAACAGATATGGCTTTTTTTTAATTAAAAAAGTATTTAGAAAGCGGGTGCAATGAGTTGGGGTTTTCTTGGATTGTTTGGGTTTTGTCTTGGTGTTTTTTAAAATCTTGGCTTAACTCCATGTTGTGGGTCACCTTTTACTATATTTTTTCATTTTAGATATGTCTTGGGTTTTGAGCAGCATATTTTCTGTAGTTACTTCTGTAGCTACTTTTAAAATCTGGAATCTTTAAAATGTAGTGCTATCTAGTGTAGATGCTTATATGAAAGCTGATAAACTGAAATTGTTTAGGTCTGAACATAGGAAGTATTGATAGAAAACAAAAGATTATAAATGTAAGTAATATCCTGATACACTAAATGCAATGTTCCAGTCATGAAGTTGCAAAACTATTACGATTCTGAAGACAACTTTTTACCATTCAGAATACCTGGGTGTTGTCTTTATCATTTATCCTGCAATGACTGTGTACAGCAAGACTAATTGTTAAGAGGGTCACAGTCTGAATTCTAAATTTTCTAGGTTCTCTGCTTTTAATTTGTGTAATTGTTTAGGTTTTGTGGGATTTACGTGCAGAAACTATAATAGAAGTCAAGCTACACTGTTGAGTTCTTAAGCTTATTACCCATTTTCAGTACAAAAGGAAGTTAGAAATTATCATACAACATTCAGAAGCATGCTGTGATAGAACTATAATGTTAATGTTAATCATATCTTTTCTATTTTTAAGGCTTCACAAGGCTTGCAGCTCAGGCAGTATCTATTGTAATCAGCAAGTTACCTACAGTGATTGCATGTTTGCCTCCTCCAATTAAGTACTTCTTTTTTCTGGCTGAGAGAAAAATGTCAAGAAACTTTGCTGAATTGAAGAAAGCTGGTCTGCTTGTCTGGAACTTGATTCTAATTATATGTCGGATATTTGAGGATGGAAATACTGCAGAACTTTTAACAGGTGCAACACTTGACAGATGGAGCAAAGAAAAACTCAGTTTAGTTCGTGTGTGCTTAGAAAGTATTATGGGAAAACAGAAAAGTGGTCCTAAGCAAGTGACCCAGAAGATTATACAAAACATTGAACAGCAGAGACCAAACTGGATTGAAAGCCAGTTGCTGAAGGCAAGAAAATTGAGCACAGACTGGTAAGAACATAGTACTTTCCAAATGCTGGTTGCTCTTTATTTTACTGGATTATAGGCACATTTATGGCTATTGTTTAATTTAAAAAAATAAGAGATGAGCGGTGATCTTATATGAAGCAGATTAGTTCTTAATATTGATGGCTTTATACCATGTGTTTGTGACTTAATTGTATTGCTGAAACAGTAAACCATGGTTGTTTCGTCAAAACAGTGTCTTCTAGTACTACAAAATTTCATATTTTCGTGATGATCCAAAAATTTGGACAATTTTTGTATCTTTTAAAATGTGAACAAGTGCTAAATATATTTGTAATTCAGTTTTGCTATGGTGAATAAATTAAGAGGGACTATGAAAAGCTGTCAGTGTTCATTTGTGAAAAAAAAAGTAAGCATACTTCATTCTAAAATCTTATCAAGCCCTCAGGGCAAATAGATTGTATCAAAACAGAGAATACCCTGCTGTGGCTTTCTGAGAAAATACCAGTCTTTCCTTCTGGTTTAACATTAAGGTCTGAGTGCTTTTAATCCTTACAGGGATTTTTCAAGGAGTTGTGTACATGTCAATGTGTTCCTAGTCCAGTCTGCTTTAATATTGTAGTCATGTACCATTCTGTAAAAATAACGTTCATCAATTTTCCAGTATGAGATTTATTTGAGTTACATGACTTAACTGAATTAAGTTGTAGCTACTGAAAGTAAGATTGCTGCTTTTCTCAGCGAATATTCTTGAAGGTTGTGGTCATTGCTATCCTGACAGTAACGTTTGGATTTGTGCTTATAAACAAAAGATATAGTGATTGCAGGCTTTCATTCAGTGCTTTAAAGGGCAGTATCCTATTTCTATGAGTAGTCAGTTAATGTGACTAGCACTAACCAGTAACAGTGTCACACAAATACTCATTGACATTGACCTTTGTAATATTTACTTTTCTATTTAATTCTAATTTACACGCTCTAATCCAGCGATTAAGATTGAAACCAGATGCCAGTGACTGAAAGAAGTGTACAATAAAAAACCCATAATGATAATATGTAAATTGATAGTTAACAGAAAGGTTCCATAACACAATTTTTAATGTCACTGAGAGAATAGGTAGTTCTTAAAAAATACAAATGGAGGATAAGACAATTTTGTGGATAACCTTTAAAAACTAAAATTTTGATATGTAGCACTTCTTCTGAAGCTGAGAATTTTAAGTTAATATACTACTCTTATTTTCTTACAGACTGCAGAAATGTTTTATTATATATTAGGTATCAGTCTGTGGAAAAGGAATGAGGGAAAATGTTTCCTATATGTGTATAGTGTCAACCAAAGAGAGAACTAGCTTGTGACTAGGGCTGCTAATTTTAAGCTTAAGATAATGAGGAATGCATTACCTGTTCTTTAAGTGAGTAGTTGAAATTGAATCCTCTGACTTCAGTTGCATTTCTGCAATAGAATTCTAACGTAAACATTATTTTTCCATTTTTTATTCAAATATTATTAGTCAATATCTGGGGGAAAAAAAGGATCCAGTTTATAAAAAGATGAGATATGCAATGTAGAGCTAAATATTATTATGAATGCTTATTATAAAGCTAATATATTAAAGCTGAAATTCAAATAGTCAATTAAAGTAAGTAACGGTCACATAATCATTAAACTAAAAACAATCAAGGGGAGACTTATAATGTTCATGTGATTTCTTTGGAACAGAATGACTATATTGGAAAATCTAAGTTGGTGTTATATAACCCTTTCTTAATTAAAGGATTTTTTGGTGTAGATGTATGCACATGCATATATACATTTGTGGTTTTAAATGTTTATGGACTTCTAATAGATACAGTGTGTGAAAGAAAACAAAAACTATAAATTTCAAAAATTTATTTGAGATTGACCTACATAGGTGTGGAAACAAAGTGCACCGAGTTTTTATAAGCAAAATTCTTACTTGATTTTGTGTTACGTTATTGTTATCAGGACTGCTACTTACATAAAAAGTCTAAGTTATGTATGGGTTCTTCCACTGTGGTGTAAAAATTTAACTTAATTTTTAAGAAAATTTTAAAAATAATAGTCCTAATTGAAAGATTCAGAAAGTGGTAGTTGCACGCATGTCCTGTTTTATGTATTGCCTGAAAGCATTACTATTTATTAAAATAGCCTTCATTTTATGGTAGCACCAGAGCTGTAACAGTCATATTAGATTCTGAAGAACGCATGTCCTGAGAAGAAAAGAAATGTCTATCTTTGCAAAGTAATTTGTTGAATTGAAGATTATTGTTTTTCATCATGATGACCCTGACCTTGCTGTCTGGGTGAATATACAGATTAAGATGAATGCAGTTATTCCTTGGCTGAGGTCTGCCTCTTTCAGGGCACATTCTTCCTAATGACATGATTGATAGGCAGTCCCAAATCCAGAGAGGAAGTCATTAATCATAGTGCTGGCTGAATCCAATCATCTGCTTCACCTGCACAGTGATGGGCAGTAAAGGATACCATTTGGGTGCTAGCACTGATGCACTCCTTTGTCAGAGGTCCTCAGCTAAGAATTTGGACAAGAAATTCAAGTTGTATCTGTACATAGCATCAAATATCAGCCTTAAGTGTGCTTTGATTTTAAAGATCAATTTCTTTTAAGCTTTTCTGTAAAATACACCATAATAACAGAGTATCACTTGCTTCCATTCAGCAGAGAACAAAATTATAGTTTATATTTTGAAACTCTTTGCTCTGTAGGACATTCTGAAACTGCATGTGGAAACAATACCAACTTTAATGTCCAGCAGCTGTGCAGCATTTCAGAGACCCTGCAGGTCAAACAGCAACTTTCAGCAGAACTGACTTTGTAATTGTGGCACACTTCCAACGATATACTACAACCACAGTGTTTCGGGGTGTGGGGTTTTTCTTGGTTTTTTTTTACTTCTAAAACAATAAAATATTGATTTTTTTTAATTCCATTTTTTTTTTATATTTTCAATTATTCTAATAACAACTGTAGAAAGAATAATATGTTCCTGTTGGTCTTTCGAGTTCATGACACATATGTGTCAAGGTGCAAACAAATACCTGTGTTGCAGCTCTAGTATTTGAGGAAAAAATAGTTTTCATACTTTTCATAGACTTGGTCAATAACAATACTGTGCTAGTATTTTATGCTTGTATGCAGAGAGAGCAGTCTGGGAATGATCAGAAATTTGAATGCACAATTTTGAAGGCACTTAGGAATGTCATCTTCAGATTTTATTTGGTGTCAGTTTCACACAAATACAAGAAAAATAAGGAACAGTACAGGGCAAAAAGTTCAACAAGTGGCAAATAGGTACCTTTTAAATGGTTAACAACATACCAGTGGGAAGAAAAAGACTTCACTTTAAAACTTCTAACCTATACTTAGAGTAATGGCTACCTTTCTGACATGTTAATTAGGCTTTAATATGTGCAGCGACAGGCAAAGAAAAATGCACAAAAGATCGAATGCAAATGCCATTTCTAGTAGCAAAGATACTTCTCTAGTGGAAAAGAAAACTAAAAAATATTTGCTGCTTGTATATCTTTAGAGTAAAAAATGTTTCATGTGTTCATTTTTCCAATTAAAGTGATTAAAATTAGAATAATAATGTGATTTGGCGTGTATTATGTATGTATATGAGATATATGTGGAACATTTCTGGAAGCCAAATATTTCTAAGTTTTTCTTAGCATGTAGTTTTAGCTGAGTTTGTATTAATATTTTGATTTTTAGAAATTTAACTTAGGACTGTTCCTATCTTTTCTATATTCTAGTGCCTCAGACACAGTAGAAGGTGCAACGTTAGAGGAAGGAGGTATTGCATTTGGATTCACTGAGCAGAAAATAAACATGATGGTCCTGGATATCTGCCACAAACCAGGTGGCAGCGAGTACCTGAGGCAAATTTATCACATCATCCAGCTCAATGAGGTAGGGAAATGGCCTTTTCACCGAGCAATTAGGTGTGTACTGGCCTGGGGCAGCGTCTGCTGGCAGTTAAGGGTTAGTCAAGGAGGTGATAATGGTTCTTAAAGTCGATATGAAATCCTATATTGTATTGTAATAAAATCCATTCAGTTTAGACTTTTCTGTGTTTCTATAGAAAAGATTACTTTATAGGAAACACTATGGATTTTATTTAGGTACTTAGACAGTAGTATGGCTCATAAACTTCCTTCAGTTTCGTACTGTAGACCAGACACATTTTAGGAGTTCGAGCACAGTAAAACCACTAAAAATTGAAAAAAGGAAGCAATTGTTGAAAAATTGACTGTTATGAAAAGTAAAATTAAATGTGGTAAATTAACTCTTCTAATTTAAAAAACAAACAAACAGTGTGGTTCTGCTGAGGAAGCAAATGCATCCACATGAAATCTTACTTCATCTAGACAACTCTATTCAGCTGAAGTTACAGTCAAGAAATTCAGTTTTGTTTTCTGCACATGGAATTTTAACAGCGTAAAAGAATTATGTCATATTTGTAAGGCTGTATTAAATTGCCCCAAGTTACCAAAAACATTCTGATTTTATTCACTGAAATAAGCACAGGTTTGCTTAAATTGTATGATAACACAGATCTACCCAGCTTAATTCAGAAAGTTCTGTTTATTAGCTTTAATTACTTAATTAGTATTCCTTGAATGCATAAGCAGGTCCTGTTAAGACCAGTGCAGGTGTACAGAAGTGTTTGTAATAAAATGCAAAAAAATGCAAATATAGGCAGAGACTAGGATTTTTCTTTTTAAAAGAATGATAGCATAAAAACCCAATTAGACAGTTATATCTATATGAATGCCATACAGAACATCTTAGTACTGTCACTGTGCTGCTGAAAATGAGATCAACTGTTTAGTTCCTAACTATAGGCTTAAAAACAATCTTTATGCATCTGCATTTGGAAGCGTTAGAAGCATGTATGTAGAAATAGCAACGTAACATTAATACAGTACAGAATCTTTTCAAGTTTCATGTCAAACAATTAACTGGTTTGGGAAGTGAAGTGAAAATTATTACTGTAATAAACAAAACCTTTTCACCTGGAGCACATTCAGGATTACTCTTAGGTATAACAATGAGGAAAAGATATTGAGCAAGACCTCCAAAAATAGCATGTAGTCCAGTAGTTAGGGCAGTCGCCTAGGGACAGGATATGCAGGCTCAGATCTTTTTTCTTCCTGGTTTAGATCAGGGAATTGAATCTGCATCTCCCACATCCAAACTAAGTCCCCAAACCTCTAGACCATTAGCTACCAGCATGGAACTCCTTCTTTTTCCCCTGTTGGAGTTGTTTTACCATGTAGAAATTGCTGTAAAAATGCATTCTGTAACTTTTAGGGTCAAAAATAGAATCATACTCTAGTTGAAGGAATAGGATGCACATACTGGGTTTTGGAGACCTGATCCAAGATCCAACTCCTGTGAGTATTCAGTTATTTATACAAAGTGGAGCAGCTCTAATAGGAGGTAAAAAGCTGAGAGAATTTGGTGGAAGAGGGACGTCAGCCTGACTTTCCACATCCCAGGTGTCTCTCTTTGAATTTCTGAAGCAAGAGCTTTGTTAATTATAGAACATTTCTTAGTGGAAAAAAATGTATTTTTAAGAAAAAAAAAATAAGAGATCCTGACCAGATTGACTCGCAGAAGGACTTAACTGTGTTAGTTTGAATTGCCTTTGAAACCATTACAAAACATTTTAATACTGAAATTATGTTTAATATGCCTGACTACCAAGAAATAGCCTTGATTGTCTGTTCAAAGATTCACCCTTTTGTTTAGAGACTCCTTGAACTGTAAAGGGATTGTGTTCTTAAAATTAGTTTAGAGATCTTTATGCTCCACTGCTTAGTAATTGTGTATGAGAACAAATTGTCGAGACAGAAAATTGTCTTCTTAATAATATTCCTTAGAAAAGCAGGTGAAAAGGGATATGGATTCTTGGAAACTGTATTTGAAAATAGAGATATGATGTTATAAAGTACTGTAGTACTCAAAACAGTCTACAGTCCTTCATGTATTTATTAAAAATAATAATTTTTAAAAGCATTTTTTACTAATGGCAACCAAAGAGAAAATTCTTTGGAGGTGTCAAGCTCAATAACATTCTGTCTTCTTGGTTTCATGCCCAGTCAGTGCAGTGAGGATATAGTTCACATGTTTACACATGTGATTTAATATTTTCACATTTTTGAAACATGACCCTTTCAGAGCATACAATATGTACTATACTAAGGAGATCTTAAAATAATATATTTACCATTGTTGAATAAGTCTCTTCCTGAAAACATAAATCCATAGTATCCCAAAGACAGAAAAAACCTGTAGTGGGAGGTGAGCTGTATACCACTTGAATTGTTCAAACCCTAGCAAGCATGGACAGATATTTCCAGTATCGCCTCTGAAAAACTGACACAATGTGCTTCTGCTGGCTCTGTGGCATCCAGAGGGCTGGGTTGCTTTAGTACTGTCTACAGATTTTGTGAAAATGTGTACATGGAAGCCAGTAAGTTTATGAAAATTTGATAAATTTATAGAAATAGCTTTTAAATAACATCCTTCACAATAATTCTAAGACCTTTTTTTATGGCATCAAGTCATGAATGAATGGGGAAAACCCAGATATTTTGGAAGGCTGAAAAAATATAGGTAAGAGATTTAGCGTGTGTTTTCACAACTGGTTTGTGATGTTGTTTTAAGTGAAAAAAGCTCATTTTTTCCCCTTTTGTTGTTTGTTTGTTTGTTTTTGTTTTGGGGTTTGTTTGTTTGTTTAAAATACACTAGGACGATTTTGCGATTGTCTTGGTCAGTCCTGACTTTTGACTGCAATCAGCAGAGAGAGGCAGCTCTTGCCTTTGAGCTTTTCCACTCCTAGGCCCCCCTTTGTATTCATATTAGAAATTGTGAGGCTTATTTATCTGCATGAAACCTTTCTTTTTTTCTGGCTAGTTTCACAACATGTCTTAGTGCCAACACAAGAAACAGTCTGTGTGGATTGAAAGGGAACTTGTACCTTTCAGGCCAGGCCACAGCTGGATAAGTGTAAAAGAATGATCAAATGCTTCTTTTAGAAAGACCCACTGAGGGACACAGGGTGCCTTGGCAGGTAGTTTACATGTTCTTTTGCCTCAGTAGCACTGAAAATAAGAGGAGCATTTGCTCCCATCTTAATGAAGACTCACCTGGAGTATATGCTCGGTGTTATGGCAATCCTATCATTATGGACTTCATTTTAATAACAATAAACTGCTAAATCACTGTAGTTCTTCCAGCACATAGATGTGTAAATGTTTCATTATCTAGCTCTTCATAAAATGGTTCTATTTAATCAAAACACTTCATTGGCATGCAGTGATGATTTATTTACATAGTAGTTGAAGAAGTGAAAACAGGAAAGATTGTGTCCAAAATAATCATGCATCTGTTACACTATAGTTTCTAAAATTGCCATGTAAATAATAAATTACTTCTAGTCTTTGAATGCTTAAATAGTTAAAAATACCTTTGAAAAGTGAAGTGGGAGAGTATTTATTTCCTGTGTTTAAATAACTGGTTAGAGCATGTTCATCAAACAATTGATTCGCAGTCATGTAGTAACTATTGAATGTTGTTCAAGAACTTTAATAGAAAGTAATAAAAAACATTTGTTGTTCACTTCCACTAACATATATATATTAAATGAGAACTTATATGCAGAATTTGATGACAATTTCCAAACAATAGCTTAGATTATTCCGATTTGCTTCAGTTGGATGTTCTTGGAGGTTATTTCTTGTTTGCTGTAAAATGGTGATACTCTTAAAAAGGTTTCTGTTTCTAAGAGTTTGCCTATTCCCTACTGTATTATAAGGAACTTTTATCAAGCATACTGTAAAGTTATGCTTGAAAGGTAGGTAAATTTCGCTTAGAAAGCTAGGTCACCTATAGTGTTCTGTGGTTGCTTTTTGTTCCAAAAGGAATATTTGAAAGACCAGCTGTCTTGTGAGAATTCTTCTGAAGATGGTGTTATGTCCAGTCAATGCCTGCCTTTGACGCTGAAGGGCAGAGAAGAGCAGCCTGTCTTCAACCCTTTCCAGGTGTACAGACAATCTTGTGCAAAAGTGTTCAATCAGGTTTGTGAAAATCTGAAACCTTGGTTATAGCATAATTTTTACTTGTCAGTCTTATTGTGATAATGACAGATACTGAATTTATGAAAATGGAATTAATTACATGCGTGCATGTGATGAAGTGCGAAGGAATATTATTACTCGGGAATCTAATGAGGGTACCCTCTACAACAGCATGATCTTCAAAAAGCCATTATTGTCCTTTTCTTTTATCAGAATTATTGCACGTAGGAGCAATTTGCATTTACTTATACCTTCTGTGTCCAGTATAGTGAAGGAAAGCCCGTAAGTAGCAATGACATTTATTACATGTGTGCAGTGGTACACAGGGTTAGTCTTAATCCTTTTAAAGTCATGGCAAAACTCCAAATGCACATTTAGAATTTTCCTGATGGGTCTTTCGCAGGATTGTCAGTTAAGTAAAGGATACTTTGGAAATACAAAGATTTTACAAAACAGTGAAACTAAGCAGAGGTAAAACACAAAAGCATGAGAGCATCCATTTCTCCATTTTTCCTTAAGTCGTGGTTGTAATATGTAAAGGATTATAATTTATTTATAGAATTTAGTTTTCTGACAATGTAACAGAAAAGAGATCTGGTTGCCTAAATCTCTGCTGAAGTTCCTCATGACCAATTCATTACACAAAATGGTATATAGTTTCTGATAGCACTTAAAAAATCTTATACCGTTATTTCTCATATGTTCTTAATGCATGATCTGTCATTTTGATTCTGGCCCTCAATTCAAATATTTGAAAAGAGATGGTATTACAGTGGTGTGAAATTCACTTTACAGACTTGGGGTAGAAAGACATCCTTTTTTCAGCACAGGTGTGCTTATACACGGTGTAATCTCCTTTCCCAAGTCTGACTATTTTGGATTATTTCACCAGTTATATTGTGGTAAAATATACTGTTTTCTCTTACTTGTTTAATGAATGCTTAATCATTGTGTTCCAATATCCTGAAAAAGATGAATACTAACTCTATAAGGCTTCTCACTCCAGAGAAACATGCTTTATAGAATCATAGAATCAACAGAATCATACAGTGGTTTGAGTTGGAAGGGACCAGAAAGAAACACAGAATCACAGAACGGGTAGGGTTGGAAAGGACCACAGTGGGTCTTCTGGTCCCACCTCCCTGCTCAAGCAGGCTCATCCTAGAGCACATTGCACAGGATTGCATCCAGACAGCTTTTGAATATCTTCAGTGAGGAGACTCCACAACCTCTCTAAGAAATCTGTTCCAGGGCGTGATTACTCACACAGTAAGGAATTTCTTCCTCATATTCAACCTAGAAAGCCAACTGTATCCTGGGCTGCATCGAATGAAGTGTGCCCAACAAGTCAATGGTGGTGATTCTGCCCCTCTACTCTGCTTCAGTGAGACCCCACCTGAAGTGCTGCATCCAGCTCTGGGGTCCTCAACACAGTAAGGACATTGACCTGTTGGAGCAAGTCCAGAGGAGAACCACCAAAATTGTTAGAGGGATGGAGCACCTCTCCTATGAAGAAAAGCTGAGAGAATTGGTATAGAGAAGGCTTCAAGATGACTAATTGCAGCCTTCCAGTATCTGAAGGGAGCCTACAAGAAAGATGGAGAGGGACTTTTTACAAGGGCATGTAGTGACAGGAGAAGGGGGAATGGCTTCAAATAGAGTGGGTTTAGATTAGGTGTTAGGAAGAAATTCTGCACTGAGGGTGATGAGGCACTGGAACAGATTGCTCAGAGAGGTTGTGGATGTTCCATCATGAAAGTGTTCAAGGCCAGGCTGGTTGGAGCTCTGAACAACCTGGTCCAGTGAAAGGTATCCCTGCCCATGGCAGGGGATTGTACCAAGATGATCTTTAAGGTCCATCCCTTCCAGCCCCAACCATTCTATGATTCTATTCTATGATTCTATTTCCCAATGATATTGATATTGATAATAATGATATTATTAATTAGCTTAATTCCCTTTACCATAAAATTGCGGATTTATTAAGTAGTGTGGAAATGTCGATTTTTATAGCAGTGATCAGTATAGCTGAGAGTCTGGTTTCCTGTGAAGACTGTTACCAGTGCCTTTAGAAGATACCAGAGTACTGGCAAGGAACAATTATTCTTCTCAATAGATGTATTTGTTCTTAAATTCATTTGTTACTGATTGGCAACTGCCATGAAGCTTAGGAGTTTATAATCCATGATTCATTTTTTATTTTCTTTGTCGTTAAGTGGATATGTTTTTAATACATCAATCTACATTTTATCTTTTTATATAGAGGATATATCCTCTTGTTCTAGAGCAAAACAAGCTAGTAGTTTCACAACACATTTTGTCAATTAATTAATTATGTATTGCTTTTTAAAAGTTTTCTCTTAGAAGGGCCAGTTGGAATACACTTGGCAATACTGCCTAGTGCTTCAGCTCTAAACAGAGAATGTATGTTACACTATGTATGTGGCCTATCATAACATGTAAAATGTATTACACCAAATATATTACATAACTATATAGGAGCATGTCTACACTGTGCAGTGTAGATATACTCTTAGCTTCCTCAGTAGATGATTTCTTAAAATAAGTTAATTCAAAAGCTTTCCAAAAGATAATTGTTAGTAAACATTTTATGTATTGTTTGTTAGTATATGTAAAAAGGGGACCCCTGGTGGTCTAGTGGTTAGGATGCGGCGCTCTCACTGCCACGGCCCGGGTTCGATTCCCGGTCAAGGGAAACTCCCCTGGGCAGATGGAGCTCGTCAGCCCTGTAAGGCCATCCATCTAAGAGAAGGTCACTCTAAACAAACCTACGTCCTGAGGACCTCACTGCCACTGTCCAAGCTTGCTCGGCCCCAGCAGATGAACCTTAGGATTAAAGGGTGGGCTCAGTTCAGCGCACACTGTGTCTCACCAAAAAAAATCCACTGCGCAGGCTCGAAGGGTAAAGACCTTTCCCAAATCTTCGCTCGCGAAGACTGGCCATACCGATACCATACCATATGTAAAAATCACTGTACAGCAGGGTGATTGACTTTTTTGGTTGAGGAATACATTTAGTGAAGGTAACTCAGTGTAGAGCTGCAGTGGGAGCTGCAGATTGAGCTCTGGGTGAGAGAAATGGTGGGAACCGGAGTCAAGAGGCCTTGAACTGGCCGAGTATCTTTGCATAACAAAGGGCATGGGGACCTGTGGCACCAGCCAGGTGACCAGACACTCAGAGACAACAGGAGCCGTTCCACTCAACTGGAATACACTGGGCTATCCAGCGCTTAGACTGTGAAAGTATAAAATCCTGGGTAGTCCTTTATTCAAAGTCCCTCCTTGGAGGAACCCAGCTGAAGCTGTTATTTTGTTGTTGCACTGTAATAAAATTATTTAAAGGACCCAGATGTCTGAGACTGCTGTGGAATACTTTGTTTGACTGCATGAGAATGGGATGTGCAGGGAGTCAAGTGGGGAACCCATCAACTCTCTGAAACTGCCTGCTGCAAAGTGGTCTTGGTCCCAACTGTTAAAATCTCTCGTGGTGGTGGAGTAACTGACAGAGTGGCCCTGAATGATCATACAGGAAAGCTTCCTTAACTTTGTTCTAAAGTTTTGTAATGTTGTCCCACAATATCATCCCAAACAAGGATCACCGAACCACTATTTTGAGATCAACTCTAGCATTTTTGTTAATGATATGTAAATTTCTTACCTCCAGCACTCTAGTTCAGTAGCTGATTCTAGGAAGTGTGTAATTTCTGTTAACAATTTAACCACATCATTCTTACATTTCTGTAAAAATCTTGAATAATCACCATCTGGTTCTCGTCACTTTGTTGCTCTTGGTTTTATCTGTTTGTCCTGACACCTTAATCTCTGTCAGTGCTACTGCTCCTCTATTGTCTAATAAACTAGGATATGCAACTCCTCAACAGTATCAACAAATGCTACAAAGGAACTATTTTCCTTTCTTGAAGTGACTTTTTCAAAAGTCATCCTTTATTTTTTCCACAGAACTGATCAGTCTGATGGACTGAATTTTTATCAGGTTTACCTATAAATTTTTGTCTTTGTTTCCATGATTGTTGCTACTGGGTGTTTAGCTTCTCCTTTTTATCCCTCTTGATTTTACAAGTATTTCCTCCATGTTTATTTATCTGCTTTTAATTCAGTGTAGTGTGTAGAACAGTGTCCTGTTTTCTCCTGTGTTCTTCTTCTTGTACTGTTCTCTTAGTGGACTCTTTTACCCTTATTTCTGGTTTATCAGGTGTTCACCATTTCTTCTTCATTCACTTTCCACTTTCACACTCTTTTGTTCTTTCTTTAGCTACCCTTTTTTTCCATTTGTACTCTGTATTTCACCCTTTTTTTTTCTACTTTACTTTAAAGTGCATGTCCGAGATGAGGGTTAGGGAGTAAATTAAGTAAGGAGAAGGAAAGTAGTAAAATAAAGATGGAAGGAATAGGGAGGATTGCACTGATTCTGTTTCCCAGAAGATCTAAGTGCTGTCTGTAAGAAGGCAAAGATGCACTGCAAGTTATACTTTACTATATTTAGGTTTATTTTCACTGTTTTGAAAAATCATCATGAAAAGATGAAACCCTCTAACACTACTTTTTAAGTGTTAGTGAGCCAGGTGTTGCTTTATTCTGGCCTGAGATAGGTAGTGAATCATTCCAGCTACTTACGTCCCTTTCAAGACTTTTCACATATTTATACATTTTGGCAAACAAAGAAATTAACAATCCTTGGTTCTGAGTTACACAATTCTCTTCACTTAATTAATATTCTCTCCTTTATTGGCTAATTTGGTCTGCATTCTTTGGTCCCGTTATCATTCTTCCTTAGACAGAGAGTCTCCAACTTTCAGGCTGTAATGTCTTTGTTATCCTCTCTGTATCTTCTGGTTACTCCAACATGTCTTTGAAGGACCAAAAATTGTAACATCCTGGATGTCCAATCCTCAGTTCCCTTAAGCTTTGTTTATTGAAGCTTATCAGAACTAGTCCAGAGAAACTCAAATCTTTGCTGATTTCAAGATCAAACCACCAAGAGTCCGTAAAAAGAAACGTAACCACTTGCTGCCATTAGTTAAAGTTTAGGAAAGTTATATCATTTGCAACATCACAACAGTAATTTTTTAATTATTTCCTCCCACGAATGTTGAATTCTAGTCACTACTAAACTATTGCTGACAATGAAAAGTAATATTATTCAACAGGACTTACTGTTTTGTAAACAAAATAATGTTATGCGTGGTCTTTTGGCTACCCGCAATTATTCTAGATTGCTTTTAAGTAAACAATATGGAGTTATATTTGTTCATATTGTGTAGGTGTACTGCTGTTTATAATAACTATCTGGTGACTGGGGTGCCTTACAAAACAATAGGCAACTAAACCTTCACGCTAATTATGATACAGGTTACATCTTGAATTCCAGCTATACCGAGTTTTTAATGACAAACTCTTCACTGACAGCAGAAAATACAAATTGCTGTTACAAAACTATTTTGCTTTTTGGACAAAGAGTCAGCTCTCAGACAAAGTGATTGGGCACAATGCCATTAACAGTTGAAAGAATAAAAGTTCAAAAAAATGATTTATCTTTTTATAAACAATGACTACATCCCTAAATGATTTATAAACTAATTGCCATCTTACTGAAATAAAACTTCTCTTCTGTGGACATGATTGATGTCCTCTTTCTAAGTCCTGGTTCTAGACACCCCCTCCTTCTTGGTTAGTATATCACAGCTGGAGCTTTAATGTACTGATCACATTAATGCTGATTAATAACTAACTAGCTTCTTTCTGTGTATCAACAGTCAACCAGTACTGAATGGAACTGGGACTGGTCAAACTTGCTACCAAGTTGCTTGGGATTGAATCAGATGACCTTCAGGGTGCTGCTGACACACAGGTAATGGGATTTTGGCAAATAATCATGCTTTCCTCTTATGTTTTTTTACTTTATGATAACCAGTACACACGGGTTTTATTGGTGAAATTTGTAAAATATATTTTGCAATTCTTTTAAAATATGCAATATTAAAATGGAGCTACTTTTTTTCTAGTGTATATAATCCATACTCAGATGATTTTTGATTCCTATTTTGAGGAATCTAATATGTTCTTCCTGTCTGAGACAGAAGGATGTGAATGTGTGTTGATATTACACTTAAAATAATGCTTTAAAAAGAAATTAGTGACTTTTGCAAATCTGTTCTGTTCAGGGAGATTTCAGCACAAAATTTAGAGCATGTTTACTCAAGTTGCAAGGTATCTTAAATTTGTTTGGGGCATGACAAGTGTAGCTAGAAAGTGTTTCCTTAGTAGTTTTTAATTAATGAAAATTATTTTAATATTTTATTGCTTTTTTACCTGTAAAATTTAACTACTTAATTTTTAGGCAGATATATTTACTGCAAAATTAACACTTGTTAAATTCAGAAACAGCAACTTATTAAGTTCAGAAAATTTTAGGTGGAAAAACTGGGTATTTTTCTAAAATATTTCCCACTTACGAAAACTGGAAAATTTTCATGTTGCAAACTAGACATTCCCTTCTTAATTCTGAACACTCCTGATGATACCTAATATGGTCCTACAATTCATCTTTTAAACTGAATTGTTTCTCTATCTGGAAACCAGAGTAATAATTTCAAAAGTGTGTCAATTTGCATGTTAAAAATGTTTTAGTTTTTTATACCATTTTCTCAATTTATCACTAGCAGTTAGTCTTAAACATTTACTTCTTCCTTCATTTCATATATAAAATATTTGTAGAGTCTATTTCTAATCTTCTTTCTTAATTTTGTTAAGTTTAATTTTTTCCCCACACAAATTGTTCTTTCCAAAATTTTAATGCAATTGCCCAAAAAAATCCTGCTGGCAGAAATTTGCTATTCAGTTCTCCTCTCAATGTCCTCTGTTACCCACTACCAGGCAGAATGTGAGACTTCACAGACTTTTTGATCTGTACCCAGTAGTCTTATTTTTATGTTAAATGACAGAGACAATTCAGTATTATTTTTTTTTCTTTGATGGTTCTCCTCCTGATTGCTGTTTCTTCATTGAAAGTGAAGTATTTTGTCTTTTTAACATTTTCATAGAAGGTCTTAGAATCAGACTGGTTCTTGAACTTCCCTTCATGTTGATGTCATCAATATAAGCCAAATGGAGCAGAGGGTTGCTGTGATTTGTAGAGGGAACATTTTACATGAACATTTCATCTGCTCTGTTCTCTTGAAACACATTTTATTTTTCTTTTGGTCTCTTTATAGAGTTTAGAAAGAAGTCATGTATATGCCTTCTCTGTCCTTCTCTCTATTTCATGCCTTTGTCATATCATCTACTGTTGCTTTTTTTTTTTTAATTTAATAAGTGCCCTAATTGTTGTCATCCTTCCTAATTCAAAAATGTCTCCATTCATTGCCTTTCTGCATGATATGGAAATTCTCATCTAGAAGTGACATTATGCAAACCATTAATGATTAGCTCATGGATTTATTATTTTAACCACGCTACTTTACAGAACGGCAGATTGTTTAAATCCATTGTGATGATTAACTAGAATTGCCGATCCAGTATCTGCCATAGTGACCAGTATCTCCAACACAACTTGTCTTTACGTGACCCAATTTTTAGCATAGTTAATGTATGTCTGCACATATTTTCCTGCTGACTAGGACAGTTCTAGCTGATCTTGTGACTACTCAAGCAACCTTTTGCAGTGAGACTCAGGTGAGCACTATCTTTTGGTGATGCTCCATGATCCTTCCTAGAATTGCATAAATTTCAGCCATCTTGTGCTCAGGAGTTAAGGTTCAAGCTGAATGAGTGTGTGATTATTTTGACCTCCCATTTACGGTGGACCCATTTCATTTCTACTATTTGCCTCCTGAGATGAGTTAAACAAAACCAAGGGCAGTACTTGAACTGTGTCAGAACCATAAGTTTATAAATTGGAGTGCCATAATATTTTAATTATTCCTTCTTTGACACATGCTAAAGCTTTCCCTGATCAGTTCCTTATCTTCAGGCAAAAATATTTTTTATCAATTCACAGGGATACTGGAGAGATATATTTCCTTTTTTCATGTTAAAGAGAAAATACTGTCAGTTGCATCTGAAATAAAATAAATACTGTCTACTCTGGCAGAAAAAAAAGTGAAAATGCTTAGGGGACTCATTTACAGTGGAAATGCTCCCCTAACCTAGTTAATGACTGAGTTAGGTGAGAGGGGGTTATGAGAGCATTGTCCCAGAGCCAGCAAGTGTTAAGCAAATTAATTGGTTGGTGGTTAGGGGAAAGTAAAAGCATTTTAGGACTGGTTAAAAAGGGAATGAATTGTTGTCTGCTACTCATTGCTGGCTCCACACTACTGTGTGGATCTAATCCACACATTCTTATAATCCTCAAAGTAAAAGCATTCAGGTAGATTTTTCAAATTAAAGATGTAGATGGTTAATGATATTATTTTATTTCAAGGTTATAAAATATAGAATGCTATCAGAAGCAGTAAAGAGTAACATGGAAAACTTAATGTTCATCTGTGTTCACAATTAATACCTTTAGATTATGTAAGAAACTTTTCCTGCAGGAAGAAAAGGGAAATATAAGGGATTTCTTTCCTTTCTAGTTTTACTTCTGGTTTGGTCTTTTTTTACAAACATATATATAGGTAGTTTGAACTACAAGAGTAAAAGTTAAAACATACCTTTCAATAATACCTTTTAATATTGTCTGTTAACATTCAACTAACTTATGAACTTGTCTTACCCAAGTTTTAGAAAATATCCTGCATGCTTACACAGATGCATGCTGCTTTGTTGGATCTCAGAACTCACCTGTACATCCTGAGACATTTAAATACCAAATGAGAGTTCTTTACGTCTGATACATGTATTAAAGTGAGAAGAGCAATTATTATTTAATTCACCTGTATCTCAACTTTTAGTTACTGATCTGCTCATAAAGCAAAAGTTGTTATTGTCTGGCTAAATCTGCATGTTGAAAATGTTTCTGCAGTTTAGTGTAGCAATCTTAGTTAGCAGATCTCTTCTTTTTAACTGTCTGGCCACTGTCTCTCTGCGTATTATTATGTTAGTGACTGTGGTGAGTTGTTCCTGGCCAATGTCTGCATAGCTGGTGGCTTGCTCTGCCTTCAGTGGAGTTGGGGAGGGAACTGGAAGAGCAAAGTGAGAAAACTCCTGGGTTCAGCTAAAGACATTTTAATAAATGAAGCAGCACAAGTAAGCAAAGCAAAACAAGGAATTCATTCAGTGCTTCCCATGCACAGGCAGGTGTCCAGCCGCTTCCTGGAAAGCCAGGCACCACACACGTAATGGTTACAGGGCTAGGGAAACGCCATAGCCCCAAACATCCCCCATTCCTCCTCCATTCCCTAGTTTTTATTGCTGAGCACATTTATATGGCATGGAATATCCCCTTAGTCATTTTGGGTCAGCTGTGCCCTCTCCCAGCTTTCTGCACACCTCCAGCCCATAACGTGGTAGGGCAAAGTGGGACAAAGAAATGGCCTTGGTGCTGTGCAAGCAGTACTTAGCAACAGGCAAAATGCTGGTGAGTCGTCAACACTGAGCTACAAATCCAGAGCACAGTACCATACATTACCCTTCTTGTTTATGTACTCTCCTTTATACCGATATATAAGTTAAACTTGTGATCATTTATTTTTAAAGTATCTCAGCAACTTGTACATGGTTATAAGATATTATTATTTTGCTGGGCTTTGAGATGTGACCTTCACCTTCCTTCTGCAGTTCTACAGAACTTTCAGATGCACTGAATACTTTACTATGAAGAATAATTACATTCTGCTCAGCTATAATGATGAGAAAAAAATTAGGCATTTTTGTAACATGTGAAACCATTATCCAATTGCAATAATTTGCTGTTCTGAAGAGCAATGGCTGGGTTTTCTTCCTCTGCACTTAGGCAAGTTTCACAGAGCACTGGTGCCAGTGCAGGAAAATAAGTAGTGATTTGGTTGGAATGGTGTGGATCCTGCTACAGGAGAACTCTGAGGAAAATAGGAATAGACAGAGAAGAACTCATGACTGGCAAAGCCAATGACAGTCAGGTACAAGTTCTTCAGAACAGAAAATGTAACAACTTAATAACTGAGAAGGGAATGATAACACATTTTACCATAAGTGCATCAGGTGAGAATACCAAGTTAGAAAAACTATAGAAATTAAAACTAATATTTGTTCAAGTGGATAAGAAATGCCATGAAAAATGTCTAGATTGAAAAGCAGAATATGATTTCCAATAGATGTACCAGTGTAGCTCAAGAAGAGTTTTCCAGAAAGTGTTTACACAGTGAATTGACCTTACAGAGTTTTAGGTTGAGATAGTGTCTAATCAAGTTTCAGTCATGCGTTCCTTTGATAGATATTCTGAAAGCAGCTTCTGAAAGCAAGTAGGAAACCTGGAGTTGTTTATATATTGACTTTAAGGAAATTAAAAAAAATTAATGTTTATTTTCTACTAAAACTGGGTAAAATATGTAACTATGCTTTCTAGTAAAATTTGCTGCAAAGTATACAAAAACTCTCACATCCCTTGGACTCCAGATTATTTCTTAACGTAGTCCAGACTACATTCTCTGATGAACTGGTGGGCTGTTTGAAAGTGAAACGGCTTTTTAGGGAGGAAATAACTATTGTTGGCAGCAAGATTTTGCTCTAAGGTTAAGACAATCTTGTATCTAGTGTCTCTGTTTTGAAATCCTTTTCACTGTATTGCATTTTGCAAATACATTTGTTAATATAGTTGTGGTATTTGTCCCCACATTAGAGCTAGGTGATAAAATTATATGTTTTACCGTTGATTAAGTTTAGTAGAACTGAAATTAAGTCAAAAGCTCTTGTTTCGAATTCTGAATGATTGCAGGGCAAAATTTGCATGGCTCTTGTATATTCCAGTGAATACACAGACACCATCTGTTGAGAGTGGTAGCCATATGGTGAACTATTTATAGAAAATGTTTATATTCATTGTATTGTTGATTATCTAGATATCCAGAAAATGCTCTTTTAAAATCCAGTATATCAACACATGGAAAAATTTATTATGTGGTTTTGAAATTGAAAAGAGTACCAGCAAACTGCGTGTGTTTGTTGTCTGTGAAAGACTTTCTATACAACTTTACAAAAGCCTCAATCTGAGAAATGAGTGAAAAAAAAAAAATGAGTGAAAATGGTAGGAAGTTCTCTAAAAATTTTTTTGGTAGAAGAAAGAAATAGTGGAAGAGCAGTTCTTGACACAATGCCAAGAAGAGAGCTTATCTGCATGGCAGAGGATGTCAGTATTAAGTCTAGTGTACTTTTGGATGTGTTAGTTGTTCTTCTAAACTGCAGGTGCTCCTAGACCTTTTGTATCTAAATTGCTGGATATTGGAAATTCATATTGTTGTTGCGACTACAAGTCGACTATTAACGATGGGTTGATGAAGAACTAGGATGCCATTAATACTACAGTAATCACCACCTGCTTGGTGAGATTATAATTGATCCCTTATAATGCATATGAGAACAGGCTTTCTAAAATGCATGGGAGACTATGAAAGGCAGTATCTCATTGTTTCTGTATCAAAAGAAGCAGGTGAAAGGTATTAATCCATTATTTCATGTCTCTTGGTTGATCACAAAGTCAGGTATAGACCCTAGTACGAAAAAAAAAGCCGCTGAGATTTTGAGGAAAATCTGACTGACCTTTCTGGATAAGCAGCAATCCTTTTCCATAAACGAGTTGGTCAATAACAAGGTATTTGTCACATCTGTCACCATAAGGATTATCATTTGTCTGCTTATCCTCTTCTGATGTAGCTAATGAAACTGTACTCTAACCTGAAAGAATCTGTCAGAAGTAGGCTTAGTTCCCTGCCTGGCACTTTTAAAGCACTGGTGGCAGAATGTAGGTCGGTAAGCAAACGGGAACAGTATTACATAGTTTAACTGCCACTCAAGCCACTATTATGTATACAGTTATAGCATGAATTTCACAAGTAAGTGAGGCTAAAGGTGAGGCTTCCCATATGCAGTACACTTGAGGCTTTTCTGATTGTTAGCAGTCTCTCTTTCCTGCAGACATGTTGACGAATCCTATGAATAAAACAATATTTTCCAATGACTATCTCCAACAAAAAGAGCTAAAAACGAAAGGATTGCCATATCCCAGTAAACTTAGTTAATATTAATATTAATATTAGTTAATAAACTCATATTAACTTTAATAATTGGCAGTCCTTTATTATGAGGCCTTTGCCAGCTTAGGATATCGAAGTATACATTTACCAGCTCTCTTTTAATTAAAAATATAAAATTCCTTAAATAACGTTTCATGCTAATTTGTTCCTTTTTTCATTGCTCAAACCTGGCCCCTAGAATAAGTGAAAATAAAACCAAAAAAAGGAAGGAAGTATTGGTAATACATCTTTTGCATTCAGAAGTGTATTCATCACAGCTTATTGGCTAGAGCATAGGTCTGTGATCTAAACCTCTTTCTTCTAATAGTGTATCACAGTAATTTAATTCCCATTTAAAATTAGATCACATTTGTCCACATTTGTATGTGCTTTGATGTGCTTTTATCGTGGTTTAGGAGTGGTACAGCCCAGTTTAGTGCTCCCATTGAGGCTCTCCAAACCATATGCCACTCGCTTGTTTCCCCTCTCCCTTTCTCTCCCCCTGCAGCGGGATGGAGAAGAGAATTGGGGGCAGAAGAGGTCAAGATCACGGGTTGAGAGAAGAACAATTTACTGGAAACAGCAATGAAATAAGAAAATGAACAGTAACAGCAACAATACTAATGACAAAGAGTACAAGAAAGAGGCTAACAATTCACAAGAAAAGCCCCTGAAAATAGACAATAGCTAACTGTCGGGTGGGGTCTTTATATAATAAAGAAATTAAGTCAGCTCCCTGATGAGATGGTAATCAAAGAGGCTTTTATTCAAACCCAGTGTTGTTTTTATCCCTTAAAACCATGTGACCTTGTGACCAATGAGGGTACATCTTTCCACGCATGTCCCCTGGGCTTCCCTGCCCTGGGTGCTTCCCCTGCACCCCTGGACACGCCTCCTACATCACCCCCTTCTCAATTATTTAAGACGGTCATGAGAACAGTGCAAAAACAACAGTGCAAACAACAGAACAGTATATTATAATCTACCATAGCTTTGCAATGACCCAGCACATCGCTTGCTTTGGCTCCTTATACATCTATTGTAAACCTTTTAAAACCTTCTTATATTTCTAAGGGGTAGTGCAACTTGGAAAAATAACTTTATTAACCTAGGGGCCTTAGCCCAACCGTGCATAGACTTAAAACCTTTATTAATCTGAGGGTTTAAATAACTGGGAAATTCAACTTTATTTCAAAAACAGGATAAGCTTACCAAACTAAATTCTCTTAAAGTGACCATGTGGCAGAGGTAGTGTTATTTTGTGAGATGTTTGGTGTTTAGGGCACTTGTCCAGTCAAACAACTCTCTTATTCATTCACACACACATTCACTGACGGCTGTCATTCCATTCATCATACACACACTCATGGATTTTGTATAGACTCTGCATTTTGCCACACTGGTCATCCTCAAATGTAAACCTGAAACGGAAACATAACTTTTTTATAACTTCTGCGTTACTCTGGTTCTTACTGCTGTGGTTGTGTACCTAGGTAGGGTCTAACACACCTGGAGGGAATCCATTTCAGCTCGTTTCCTGTAGCCACACAGGCATAGCCTTGCCCCCAAGTCATGAAGTCCACTGGTCCCGTCCACTGCCCTGAAATCAGATCTCTCACCATGACTGGTGGTTTGGGACAGGCAAAAGCCTGAGGCCTGTGCTGCCTTTCGTGCTTGCTTTTTTCAACTGTCACAATTTAAAAAATTTAGGACATATGTGGCTTTCCACAGATGCTCTTGCGGACTACAGACTGATTCCCCACTTTTCTGTTTAGTTAACATGTCTTTCAGTGTGCGATGTGCCCTTTCAGCAATTGCTTGTCCAGTGGGTGAGTGTGGAATACCTGTGGTGTGAGAAATTCCCCAATCTGACAGGAAGTTTCTTACCTTTTCTGAAATGAAAGCTGGCCCATTGTCGGTCTTAATCTATTTTGGGGTACCAAGGGTTGCAAAACAACTGAGCCAGTGTCTTATTACATCCTTGGCCTTTTCTCCAGTGTGTGCAATGGTGGTTATGTATTGTGAATGGGTATCTACTGTAACATGTACGTATTTTAATGTGCCAAACTCGGCTATGTGTGTGATATCGTTTGCCAAATCTCATTTGCCATTAACCCTCTGGGGTTAATGCCTTCCTGAGATGGCATGGGTGTGATTTGCTGACACTCTGGGTATGACATGATTATGTCTCGAGCTTGATTGAGTGTTATTTGAAATTATCTCTTCAGTGAACGTGCGTTCTGGTGGAAAAATGAATGAGATGATTTTGCTTGCTCTAAGACTCTAGGTACGGTGTTAAACATTGCTGCTTTGTCAGCCTCTCAATTCCTGTCAGCTGTTGGTCCTGGCATTTCAGTGTGTGACCTTGTGTGCATTATGTAAAAATCAAACTTTCTGTGATTGACAAGAAACCATACAGAACACATTTCAAACAACAGGTGAGGGTTAGCAACATCTCGAAGAAATGAACTTTCAAGATGGGACACTAACCCTGCAGCATAACAGGAATCAGTAACAATATTAACAGGTTGTTCAGAAAACTTTCCCAAGGCAATACGTATGGTAGCCAGTTCCAGAACCTGCACAGAGCCCTGGTTCATGGTTTGTACCTCTCCTTCCCATTGTCCTGTGACAGAGCTTACCCATGCCACTGCAGCTTTTGGGGTCTGCCCAGATGCATCTGTGAAGACCATAAGGCCTTTCACTGGTTCATGTTTGCATCTGGTTGTGGCTTTTAAGGGTAGATTACTGACTTCTGCCCACAATCTGTGTTTAGGGAGATGAATTGAAATGTCACCGTCAAAGCCTGCCAAGGCAGCCTGGAATCCTGCATCCTCAGCTAGCATCCATCAAGGTTGTCCTTTGTAGCTGGGATGTATATGGTTGCAGGATCTCTCCCGTCCAGCTCCTTTAGTTGTCCTCTGCCTTTAATGACAAGCTTGGCGAACATTTCATTAGTAGTCCATACAGTTTTAGGTGGTGTGTGGGGCAGAAATAGCCACTCTAAAATTTGCAGTGGGTCTTTTTCAGTCTGATCCCACTGAAACAAAACTGCAAATGGCTGGTACCTGCTGGGTGCGAGAGCAAGGCAGATTTGCAGTTCAGGATTTCTCCTTCTGCCTTGTCTGCTTTCTATTGCCTTGGCACAAGTGTCTAACGCCTGCTTTACCTCTACTGTCAGAGACCTGCTAGACATTAGGTCTGAGTCCCTCTTAAGCAGCTCAATTAGAGGGTGTAGCTCCTCTGTGGTTATGCCTAAAATAGGCCTTAACCAATTGATGGCTCCCAGAAGTTTTTGCAGCTTGTGTAAAGTTAAAGTGTTTTTTACCTCGAGCTGCAGTGGCTGTGGAGAAATTTCCTGCTGTGTGATTTTCCATCCAAGGTATGTCCAGTGTTGCGATTGCTGCATTTTTTCTGGAGCAACCTGTAACCCTGCATCTTGGACAGCTTTGATTAGAGCAGTAACAACAAATTGCAGTTCATGTTCTGTGGCCTTGGTTATTAATATGTCGTCTATATAATGGTGTATGATGGCTGTTTGATATCTCATCGGGCTATTTTGCATCCCCTGAGGAAGGACAACCCAGCGATACCTCTGCATGGGCTGAGCATTGTTCAAGGCGGGGATGGAAAAAGCAAACCTTGCTGCATCATCAGGGTGTAGGAAGACGGTAAAAAAGCAGTCCTTTAAGTCAATTACCATTAGTGGCCACTTTGCTGGAAGCACATAGCAGGTGAGGGAAGTGCAGGCTGCAATGCTCCCATAGGTTCTATGACTGTGTTTACTGCCTGTAAGTCTTTCAGTGTTCTCCACTTCCCACTCCTCTTGGGGACGCAGAATACAGGGGTATTCCGGGGATTGGTTGTTGGCACATTATGACTTGCCTCAAGCTGCTTCCTCTCCTGCTCGCGAAAGTGGGTGGCAAAGAAGAGGAGGATGGCGAGCAGCACAGCAGCAAGCAGTGTGGTGCCCAGGGCGTGGCCCTGGCCCTGCCCACGGCACCCTTGGTACAACTCAGCCCATTCCCTGCTGCTTAGGTACTTGTGGGATGTTGCTGCTAAGGGTCTCCAAGGGCAATCCCTTTGAAAGTGGTCAGGGGCCCCACATCTAAGGCAACTCGCTCTGGGTCTGGCCCCTTCCTGCACTCTTAGCTGGGTGCTTAAAGCTGTGGCTAAAGAGGCAGACTGGTGCTCCACAGAGCCAACTCCTTGGTAGAGTCGAACCAGCTCAGCAGTGCTACAACTCTCTCTTTTAGGAAGGGCCTGCAAAGCTCTTTTACAGTCTGGGTTCACCTTCTCAAAAGCCAGATGCTTATAAAGTGTCTCTCTGGCTTCATTGTACTCAACTTGCTTTTTTAAAGCAGATTGCAGTCAATCTAGGAATTGTGAATATGGTTCAGTAGAACCTTGTAACACTTTTGTGGATGGCAGGTTGCTATCTCGGTCTGTAGTGCTTTATGGAGGGCAGACATTATCACTGTGTAAGCTGGAATTATATTATCGGCTCAGCGATCTCCTGCCTTGGTCCTTTGGTTCTGGATGTGTCCCAGTCTTTCCCATATGTCTATATGTAGCACTTCCATTAGTGGCAGTGTGGGATATACAGACCTAATAAACATTACTAATTCTGATAATTCTGCCTTTGTAGTTTGGATGTGGAAAGATCTTAGCGGTAGAGTTAATGTTTCAGTGTCTTGTGATATCTCGGTGGAGAAAAAGCTTCCCATGTTTTTTACCTTACTCTTGCCGCTGTGGACACACGTGTGCGGAGGGGTCCTTTGTTTTGCGGCTGCTGAGTTTTACTTTTGGTTTCTGGATCGGCTGTTCTCTCACGGTGTCCCCGTCAGCATCCAGTGCTGTCGGCTGCTGCTCTGGTGGCTTGGGGGCGGTGGCAGATGGCAGAGGGATCTCCCAGAGCGGTAGGTCCCACGGCAGCGGCAGTCGCGGCAGCAGCGGCAGTGGTCGTGGCAGCGCGTGAGGTTCCCTTACGGTCTGCAGTGCTCCTGGCAGCTGATTCAGCGGTGTGGAGGCTGTACATGGTGGCTACAGGCACGCTCAGACTGGCAGAAGGCGGCTGCGAGCTCTCACGGTCTGCTGGGCAGGGTGGGGACTCAGGTGCTGTGGCGGGGTTTCATGGTGCGGCTTCTACGGGTCCCGCACTCCTTCTAGCATGGGCATGGGGCTTGCAGAGGCGGCAAGCGAATGCGGGCGGGCAGCGGCTGCATGGAGCTGTGGCTCTTCTCCACTTGACGGAAAGGTGCGCCGGTGCGGGGTTCGCAGGGTCTCGCAGTTGGGTTGGGGGTGTTCGAGCAGCAGTGGCACCTCTTTCCGCTCTCGGTGCTTAGCACATGGCAGCAGCGGGCGGCAGGGGTTCCGGCAGGGTTCGGCGTGCTCCGCCACTCGTGTTTCCGAGCTGCGGGCTCACAGCCACTCAGGGAGCAGACCTGACCATGGTGTTGGTTGCTGGCACTGCTTTTCAGCTCACTCATAGCTGAGATGGTTGGTCGACCCCGCTCTCCTCTCTCCGCTGCTGTCACGGTTTCTTGGCTTCTTCTTCTTTTCTTCTTTTTTCTTCTTCTCTGTTCCTATGCACTTTCCCTAATATTTTTTGAGCTCTCTATACTAACTGCATTTCTCAGGATCGGCTGAGACAATGGCTTAAAGATGTCTGAGTTTTTTTCAGTGAAAGATTCCCATATTCTAAAAATTAATACGATAACCGGAATTTACCGATATTGCCCTGATTCAGGGATTTCTATTCTGGCCTAATGTAGGTTTTAAGCCCCACGTTGGGCGCCACATGTCGCGTGGGGTCTTTATATAATAAAGAAATGGAGTCAGCTCCCCGATGAGATGGTGATCAAAGAGGCTTTTATTCAAACCTGGCACTGTTTTTATCCCTTAAAATCATGTGACCTTGTGACCAATGAGAGTACATCTTTCCACGCATGTCCCCTGGGCTTCCCTGCCCTGGATACTTCCCCTGCACCCTTGGACACACCTCCTACAGCTAACCACTCCCTCCACCATGCTATGCCAATCTTGAAAAGAGCCTTTCCTCATCCATGAAAAATGATGTTATATTGTATCGAATAATCTCTGTGCTTTAGCCATGCTCCCTCCTGGCTATTCAAAAATTACCCTGTCCTGTCTGGAACCAGGACATAATCCACTCCTTATTCTGTACTACCTACAACACGCCCAAATCCTATATCTTCCAAGTATATACATATGTATATATGGGCCATCCCTCCAAGATGTCTGTTGAGTTCATTTAGTCCATGACTGTGAGTTCTGTGTGTCCTAGATATCTTCCAGGGCAGGAGGGTAGGTGTGCTGTCAGCTGGTTACAAGCTGCATCAGGAGTTTACAACTGTTGAATCTAGAGCAATTCATCCTCACTGTCCATGGCAGTTATGGCATACAGTGGCAGTGTCATTCAGCAACCAGTATTATACAGTTCAACATTACAAACTCTTCTGACCCAAAAATCAAACTCCCATTGAGGTAGACATCGTGTTTCCCTGTCGTTCTGCATTACCCACCAAGTACACTCAGGTCCTTGAGCAAAAACAATCCAATGGATGGGTTTGCCTTTGCTTGAGGCAGGATTAATCCAAACTGTCTTCTCTAACAGGTTCCTCATATGCACCACGGGGACTTTATTCCCTTCCACAGTATGTGGAAGTTTTAAATGGGCAGGGCCAGCTCGACTGGTAGAGCCTCCAGTACTACCTAAGCAGGTGGCCTTCACTAAATGTAGATTCCAATGTTTGAAGGTCCCACCACCCTTCGCTTTCAAAGTGGTTTTTAACAGTCCATTGTACCTTTTGATTTTCCTGGAGGCTGGTGCATGGTAAGGAATATGATATACCCACTCAATCCTGTCGTTCTTTGGCCCTCAGCAGTGCCACAGCAGAAGGGTCCTCTGAGAGACCAGGCAAGGTATTTAGCTGTCTAATTTCTTCTGTCTCCACAGCAGCTATCCCAAAAGCCCAAAGATGGCCTTTTGGGTCCTTGCAATATCCTTCTCTCAGGTAATCTGTGCCAAGGATACACAGAGCTTCTGGGCCTGTCACAATGGGGTGATTTTGCGATTTGTTCATGGTCAGGCTCACTTCAGCTTCCACTGCAATCAGCTGTTGGGATACCCCTCTCATCCCAGAAATAGAGATGGATTTAGCCCCCTACATGTCTTGATGACATCAGGGGACGTGGTGTCAACTAAAGCCTTATACTCTTGTGGGTCTGATGTGCCAGGCTATTGTATCCACATAGTCCAGTAGATCCAATTTGCCCCTTTGCTGCTGGAGGCAGGGCTTGTCTAGTTCTGGTCATGGTACTCGTTGCTCACTTCCTATAAATATGAACTGGAGGTCCATTCAAAAGGATCAGAAGTAACATCAGCCCTCCTATTCTGTGTGAGGACTTGGCCACTTGAAACTGCAGCAGCATTTATCATTGAAGAATTTCCTGTGGGTAGGTGTTCTTCCTCTTAATTATATACCCATTTTGCTAGGGCAGAGGTCGGTTTTCCATCCCACTTCCTTGTGTCCTCTCCCTGGTCACACAGGAAAAAATACGTTACCCTCTGTCTCAGAGTGGCACTTGCTCCCAGTAGCAGAGACTCGTCCATACTGGCAGGGCATGGGACATTTCCTCTCTAACTCGCTGGAGTCTTTTGAGTCTTTCCGTCGTCTTGGTTGGACTTTCTTCAGCTGGAGTGCAGGTTGGTAGGGAGTAAAAAAGATGATCTTCATATTGTCAGTCACATAGTTTTCTGAAGCACTATTTGTTCTCCTTTCATTGATTGACATCAGTGCCAATGAGTTGCATCCAGTGATGGCATACTCCATACAAATTTCTGCCACATGGATTGTGTACACTGGACTTCATCTGGATCTACAGAGACTGTTCATTATTTGAATCCCTATAGATTACCTCCAGCACAGCTAATTCTCTCAGGTACTGGATACCTTTCTCCATGCTGTTCCACCTGCTTGGGCACACTACTACGTCATCCTTGAGAGAACCTTTCCCTCGCGCTTGACAGGAGTCACCTCCAGAGGCTGAGAGTTTCTGTCCTCTTCCCAATCCCCTTGTCAGTGCCCACATCCTGGGACAGAGATCCCAGTTGTTTGGCTTCACTACTGTCTAGTTTCATATCGAAGGCCACGCTGTCCCAGCATTGGAGCAGCCCGGGTCACCAGGGGCTTTCCTGACTGGCAGCTGAAATCTTTTTCCATATCTCCCAGCTCCCCTAGGGATAGAGATTGGGTGATTATCTCTGGCACTTCCTCTTCCTCCTGTTATGAGGGCCCTACTTCCTCTTCATCCCTCACTAAGTGAACTGATTTGGTCTTGGATTTCTTATTCTATACAAGGGGTGACTGCTACTGAGCGCAGGGTGTTCCTCTGGTTCAGGTGCAGTTTGAGTGGACGCCATACCTGTTGGTTTGCTTTCCTCCTCCTCTCACTGAGGGTGCTGTTTAGTAACAAGCAGTGCCTGGTAAATAGCAGCCAGAGCCCAGCACACTGCAGTAAGTTGCTCCTCTCTGGAGCATTCTCCTTGCAAATACTCTGTCACTTCATCAGAGTCCTGTAGGACTTGTTCAGGAGTGAACTTCCAAACCATTGGAGCAGAGAATTTCCCCAAAACCTGGCCCATTTTGTCCTATATTCCATTCCACTCGTGACTATCCACTCTCAGTGTAAATCTGAGTGACCTTCTTAGAAATCTCTTTCTTTACTCTAAATGTATGTAGATTACACTGAGGAGACCTGGGAGAGTTAACAGCAAGAGTTTGCTTTTCTTAGCATGCAAAGGAAGTTCAAAATTCTCAAAAGCTGTTGAGGCCTAGTAGAGGAAGAGAGGATGAAAAGCTGGGGAAAATCATCCTCCACCTAAGACTGGGTATGATTATTAATAGACTTCCAGAGGTAGCACCCAGAGCCAGGACAGGAGAAACAACACTGAACACACATCACAAAAGGCCCCCCTTGCCCTTGATGTTGTCATATCATAAGGAAACTGCTTTCACATAGTACAGCAATAAAAGGATTCTGATCCCTCTGCCAGCTCTTAAAAATAGCATCATGACAAGCATGTATTGCATATACATGAAGATATACAGTGTTAGGTACCATACCCACATGAACTGACCAAGCAACATTGTGACCGCTGGCTCCATACCTGATACAAAAAGTGCTTAGATAAAAATTGTTTCTAACCCTCTCTGGTCAGATCTTTTGTGTTGCAAGCGTTTGTGCCTCCCGCTGCATGCCAAATAAGGCAGTCATGGTTTAGGAATGGTACTCCCCAATGTAAGACTCCCTCTTAGACTCTCCAAAGCAAGGCCTCTGGGTTGCTCTCTCCTCCCCTCCCTTTCTCTCTGGGGTGGGATGGAGAGATTTGGAGGCATGAAAGGTAAAGATCTCAGGTAAAGATAAGAACAATTTACTGGAAACAGTAGTGAGATAAGAGAACAAACAGTAAGAGCAGCAATGCTGATGAGAGAGGGTACAAGAAAGAGGCAAACAATTCCTGCGGAAACCCCCTGACAACAGAAAATCCTAACTGCTCCCTCCACTATGTCATGCCAGAATAGAGCCCTTCCCCCTGTCCATGGAAAATGACTGTGGGGTGGTATAGGATAACCTCCATGTTTCAGCCATACCCTCTCCTGGGTATCCAAAAATTAACTCTGTCCTGGCCAGAACCAGGACAGCTGTGATGAGAATACTGCTAAGTATATGCCATGTGTTGTGTTAGTAATACATGCGTGTATTTATTGTTAGCATTCAAATTTTATTGGTTTATTTAGAAGTTTGTATCTTTTCTTCATAACTAGATATTTTTGTATACTGCAACCACAAATCATTATTTGGAAATATGGCACTTTGACATTTTATGCTACTAATTAACCTTGTGATTGGCATTCTGTTACTTGACTGACTTTCCTTAAAAACAGATATTTCCTTTCGTCTGCCCTCTTTTCACCTCTGTCTTACATCCTGTTCTCACTAAGGATTTTAAAGTGGAGATAGTTGTATTTGTTTTCTTATCTGTTCTTTTCTTTTTCCTCTTTCAGAGCCTTTATGATCCAAATTTTCATTTTTAATAGGTGTGTGTATATATATATATATATATATATATATATATATATATAGTGATTGTAAGTGTATACAAATGTGTAATTGTTAAATGTGTAAATGTATATTGATGCATTCAAAGTACTGACTACCCTAACTGTACATATTGGCTTAGCTACTCATCTCATCTATAGTCTTCTTTGCTACATCTGCAAAGGAAGGTGCTACAGGACACAAGGCAAAAAGGTAGGTCTGTAGAAACAACATGTCCATCTACATGTTGTTTCTTCCTTCTGCTTCTTTTAGATAAGGGATTTTTCAGCAACGTGCTGAAGTAACATACAGTAATTCAATTTCCATACA